TTTCAATCATAACAAGTGTGTGTGTGTGGGGGGGGGAGGGGTGAATAAAAAATAAATTTCAAAGAATTTTCAATTTTAACAAGCAGTAAAAGGGGAGGAAAAAGCAAAAGCGATTTGAAAAATGAGGTTTGATCAAACCTTGACTCCATATAAAGCTACATTAATGGCTCTGGGCTTAATGGAATCCCAGTTGTTTGCAAGAGAGTGCAAAAACATCAGTTTCTGCCCTCTGTTCACAAAACAACCCCATCTGTCTGGAATACTAATAGGTGATTTCAAATACATCTCTCCTTCCTCTAGAGACAATTTGGTAATCTGGATGCAGCCTCCAACTGCCTGTGGGCTGTAAGGTCTCCTGCTGTTCCGTAGGGAATCAATTTGCCATTCCTCACTGGAAACTTCTCTCCTCTTGTATTAAGAACAGTAGGTCAGGAGAAAATAACTTAATGTAAATGCCAGTGTGAACAGGAAAGGGACCTGCAGATAACCCAGAGCCGAAATAGACATGAATAGGGAAGTCAGGGTGTACAGCCTGTCACATAAAATTAATGCTCTCACTTCTACAGAGGAAGAAAGGCAGAGGAAGAAAGGCAGTAAGAGATAAAAGAAGCAGAGCGGAAAATGCAGAATGGAAGATGTGGGGGTGGGTGGGGTGGAATAGTATATGTACGGAGAGGGAGACAAGGCAACAGGTAAAGGGGACAGTTTTTCTTCCTAGTAGTTAAAACAAATGCTCAAGTGACGAGTGGAAGGGGTTCTCTCCCAGGTAGGTGGTACCACCTGTGTCCATCTGGTTCCCAGTACAAGTAAAGGGAGATACTGCTTCATTGTCATTACTCACTCTAGCACAAGGGTCTTCAAACTTGGCAAGTTTAAGACTTGTGGACTTCAACTCCCAGAGTTCCTGAGTTAAATGACTGGAGGTGGAATTCTGGGAGTTGAAGTCCACAAGTCTTAAAGCTGTCAAGTTTGAAGATTCCTCCTCTAGCATTTGACTCTAGCCATTAGCACATACTCTTACTCTCCATATGTATCAATGAGATCACAGTAGAATTGCATAAGACTGACCAAATCATCCGATTGGGTGTACTTTCAAATATCAACATTTTACCATTAAAGGAATTTTAGCATATGGATGTAGGAAGTTAGCACCCACCCCTCTCCTAGAAAAATGAAATATCCTGGGAAATATTAAAAAGGCAGAATATTTCCCCTAAAAAGAGTAAAGTAGAAACTCAGAGAAGCAGAAACTCAGCCCCCCCCCCCCTTGCTAATGGGCTGTTAAGGCCTAGGCCAGAGTATTCTACATAATAAAGGGTCTACCCATCTCACCACCTGGCCTGGGAAGATTGTATGGCTAACATTCAGGTGAAGCCATGTGGTCCAGACAAAGCCTACAAAGTTAGCTAAGCACACCCCCCCCAAGTCTGACAGCCAATGGGATACATTTCTTACACAGGAACAGGAAACACTAAGGTGGGGCTCAACAGAGGTTATATAAGGGTCTCTCAGCATCTTGGTCTTCCCTTCTTGGTCTTCCCTTCTCACCTAGAAGTATGTGATCATCCTTTCTTTTTCACTTTGGAGCTCCAAGCCATGTGGTCCTGCTGTCCACCATTAAACCATCTTTCCAAATAGCCTCCATGTTTCCAGTGTCTTTTTCCCCACTTGGAACTGAACCCAGAAGGATATTTCTTTTAACATGAAAATAAAATTCTTCAAGTCAGCAACATGTATTGTTTATTTATTTATATTGCACCTTCATTATTTTTACACATAACTTGAAGTGATGAGAACATATCCAACACATCTTCCTCTTATTTTCCCCACAACAACCTGTGAGGGGAGTTGGGCTGAGAGACTGACCCAAGGTCACCCAGCTGGCTTTCATGGCTGTGTGGCATTTGAACTCACAGTCTCCCGCTTTCTAGGCCAGTGCCTTAACCACTAGACTAAACTGGCTTCCATAATGGATGGTGAATGCAAATAAACATTTTTGCTTTCTTCACTAAATGTATTCTATAGAGCATCAATTAAAAAGTAAGAGACTCAGTTAAATTATACCTAGTTCATAGTGGCTTGCAGATGCCAAATGAATTTATGACAATCAGACATGGATGCTTGTAATGATAATTATGAGACAATTTAATTCTTTTCTGGAAAGCAAATTAAATTCTGTTTAGAAAACAATTTTCTCATTAAGTGCTTGAGTAGAAGATCTGTAGTGAAATAATCTTGTCAGAAAATGAGAGAGCGCTCAGAATATATAATGTAGATTTCTTTGATATTTGGATGATTTGCTGCAGGCAGAAAAAAAAAACTGGACAAGGTAATAGAAGCTGTGAAGAACGAAGTGGGAAGAAAATGCTTAAGCACCAGTAAAAATCCCCCCCCCACAAAAAAAAAGTTAAATAGCTTTTTGAAAAGATCTTTATCAAGGATTCTGCATTTGCTGACTGGAATGTGTTGATTAGAAATCATTGTCCCCAACAATTGCAAATTTTATGTTTGAAGGAGGCAACTATAAGCTTATTCTCAAGCAGCTGCAAGGTGGTAGCACTTTTCTCCTGGCTTCCCATGGACTGAAATGAAGGTTGAAGTGATCTAGCAAATGTGAGGGTATTTCTTGAGTGATTTGCATACAAGTAGTCTTTGACTTATTATCACGGTTGGAAATGGAGCTTCTGCCATTAAGCAATGTGATCATTAAATGACATTGTGCCTGATTTTACCACCTTTTATTGCCACAGTCATTAAGGAAAACACTACGGCTGTTAAATCAATCCAGTTTCCCTCATTGACTTTACCTGCTGGAAAACCCCTGGGAAGTTTGTAAAGGCTGATTACCTGACCCTGGGAAGTTGCAACCATTGCAAATAAGTGGGTGCTAGTTGTTAGGATTCTGACCCTGTGACTGTAGGGATGGCTCAACGGTTGTAAGGACAAGGACTAGCCACAAATTGCTTTTTTTCAGCGCTGATGTAATTCTGAACAGTCACAAATGAATGGATGCAACTTAAGGACTACCTGTAAGTAATTTAACTTTGAATCCTGACCTAGAAACCAGAAGTCTGTTGAGTTCTAGTCCCATTTTCAGCACAAAAACCAGCTGAGTGACTTGGAACAGCCATTCTCCCTCAGCTCAACCAAGCCACCTCACAGGGCTGTTTTTATAGGAAAAATAGGTGGAAATGGGTATTAGGAATGTTTTGCCACCTGGAGCTACTTATAGAGAAACAAAGATGGGGGGAAAGTCTAATAAAAATAATAAACTTGGTCAGAAGTTTTCAAGGGTGGGTTATGGGAGAGAAGAAAATAGCTAATATTGAAAATAAATAAATGCCCTTAGAATCCCCTTTCAAAGGAAGACAACTTTCTTATTGCCAATGGAAATCAAATCAGGCAGCTTCTGCTGTAATAAGCATTTTAGTTGGTGGGCTAGATAGGTTTGTTAAAAAGGCACATTGTGTGCTTGGCTTTCTCATAGAATGTATATACTGGAGATGATTTTACAGGTTACAAAATTACAACTTCTCCTCAATCAGAAATTCACTGAACCATTCTTTGCAGTGACCATCCAGAATTCTTTGTGTCAGATCGTGCGGTATTTGTTAAAATTTAAAACTGATGAGTACTCAAACATCTAAAAACTGCTGCGTGAAAGATGTGTCAAAGGAGCAGGTAAGATTTGTACATATAAAAACAGTTAAATATGACTCATATAAACATTCATGACAGAATGCAAAGTAATAATTTTAACTCACAGTAATTTTCCTATATAACTTGCTTGGAAATCTTTTCCTACAATTAAATAATATATAGTTTTAGCAGGTTCTTCTTAAATTTTCCTCTGGTAGAAAGAATGCTACTGAAATATTTATTATAATAATGGCAGTACAATTTGCATGATTCAAATATATTGTTTCCATTTCTAATATGTTTTAAGTTCCGTCAATTTTACTTCCATCTTCAGGAAAAAAAATCATTAAAGGACTTTTAAGTTATTTTACATTTACTCAACACTTGAATAAGTCAGGCAGCCAAGACCAAGCTTATTTCAAAGTAAACCTTAATGGATTTTCAAATCATTTGAATATTTCTAATCTATGATTGTAAGATTAAACAATTTCTCCAGGCAAATAGAGAAATTAAACCACTATTAAACACATTATTTAGTAGTTTTATTTTATTCTAAGAAGTCTCCTCTTAGTTGATTATATGAAATCATGACTGAGATCATATACAACTGGTTTCTTCAGAGAAAATTCAATCAGCACAGCTCATGGCTTCTTCCAAGGAAGAACATATTGAAATAAGGGTATAAAACAAAAATCCGATACTCCTGTATAAAAGAGTAGAGTACTCTTGTGTAAAATTGCAAGTGATTAAAGCTATAAATCAGTTGTTTCACAGGTGTTCCAGGTTTTTATTTTCCAAAATATAAACAACTCTATGGTATCTGGAACAAGGCATGATGAAACTTCTTCCTTGCAATATATTCCAGAGTCCATGAACATATTTCATGGAATATCACAAATTTAATTTTGAGAACAACTGATAAAAGGAATATTTGAAGAGATTAAATGATGGAATAGCAGTAGCAATTGCACTTAAGATGTATATACCACTTTACAGTGCTTTACAGCTCTCTCTAAGCAGTTTACAGAGTCAGCATATTGGCCCCAACAATTTGGGTCCTCATTTTACCCATCTTGGAAGGATGGAGTCGGCCTTGAGCCTGGTGAGATTTGATCTGCCAAATTACAGACAACCTGCAGTCAGCAGAAGTAGCCTGCAATACTGCACTCTAAGCACTGCGCCACCACAACTCATAATATGGTACTCTTTCCCAGGCTGATTGTGCAATACCCAAAAGAGCTGGAAAAGAAAAGCCAAATCACCGCTATCTTATAAAAGCAATGTTAATGGGCCTTAAGGCACTGTTTTTGCAAAACTTAGAAGGAAACAAAGTAAAAAACAGCAACCACACACACACACAATTTACTTTAAATAAAATTCAGTGAAATTTATATGGTAATTTAAAAGGATTTTTTTCCTCTTCCATACAGAATTTCTCTTGCCAATCCATCTGGCTACCACCTGTCATGTTAAAACGGGATCCCTGATACCATGGTCAGGATTGCAGGTAAAGGAAATGGTGATGGCATAGCGAGTGCCCCAGTGGACTTTCTCAACATGATGGAGGTTTTCTGAGCCAGATGTGAAAAACGAAACCCGTCCTGCAAAACAAGAATCTACAGTCAGAGCGGAGCAAGATACGCATTATTTATCTGATTGCTGATACCTAGGATTCTACAATTAGCTACTCAGCTTCAATCATCCAAGATTTGATCATTATCTAATGGTAAAGCTATCCTGTTCCCCGATCAAAATATCATGCAGTTAACAGAATTTATTAATATGTCTTTAATATGTATATTCTTAGTCCTAGAATTATTAAAAGAAAGACTTCAGTGGGGGGAAGGAAGGAAGGAAATAAATCTTTGAACATTGTCTTAAGTGAACAAGACTTTTGATTTGGGTTGTGCACAGCTCTGGTTCTGAAGGGGGAAAAGTAACTGGCATGCCCCCCCCCCTTGGAGTCTGTCTCCAAGGAGGAAGACAAACAGCTGACAGGGAGTAGGAGAGTGGCTCCATTGGCTGTGGAAGAAACTGGGGAAGGGCAGTCAGGCTGGGCAGAGCAGGGGGGAGGTAGAACAAGGGAGGGGTTCAGAGGAAGACCAAGGCCCACACCCTCTTCATCCTAGGGCACGGAGGGAAGAATGGAGAAGAGAGCAACATGGGTTGTGTGGCTTACAAGGGAGGAGAGGGGGTCGGATTCCCTTCACAAGGCAGGGAGAGAGTTTAAAGGAGAGGCAGATGCAAGCTGCATTGGCCAGGAACAAACATTGATTTTATCTAAATGTTGACTGCTGTTATTAGGATTAAGAATCAAGCCCAGGAACTGTCACACTTACGCATCTAAACACTTTTAATTCTACCTGATTCTAGTATCTGAATTTGAAAACTATTTTTAGTGTTTCTCTTGTTCTGAAACAGTTTAAGATCTGTTAAAGGGAGTTTTGAAAAATATAAAAGCTTTGATGTAACGGATGCCCATAAAGAAATAAAATTGCTGTTATTGTGCAAAACTTATTGTATAAAATTACTGAATTTCTTGCCAATTCTATAATTAATATAAGCTTTTAAGTAAGTATATATTATTAACTTTCTAATAATCTGCCCCAGTTGGAAGACAAAGAACAAGATTTTTCCTAACCCCAAGCTGAGCAGATGAAACCAGAAAGTCACCTTCTATGCATGCCTCTCAAATAAAATGCAGATTTCTTTCGTCTTCCACCACACAGAAAGCTGTAAAAACTGGATTTGGGATGTATAAATTGTGCATACTATTTTTTTAAAAATGCCAGTGTACTACATAATAGGACTTTCCCATGCCTTATATCTATGAAGTGTTCCCAATAATTTAAAGAATGTAGTTATTTAGCTCTACTCATATAGCATTTATAGCAAACGGATATGAATAGATTCTGATTTCAACCCAACATGGGAAATATACAGCAGTAGAGTTATTGTTAGCCTATGCAGAAAGTTTAAATATAGACACAAGTGATGGTGGAGCTTTTATCAGGCCTGGTCCTAAATATAATACAGACCCATTCAATTTTCTGGAGTTCATCAGAAGGCCAAGTGATTTAATTATGTAAGAACTCTCTTTTATTTGAAAGTACACATAATATGTGTTGACACTTCACTAATAAAAACAGTTTCAAATTGCCACATTACTGAGATGTAAATGTACTCTAGTTATGCCAGAATACTTCAGTCTTTTCTCCAAAAATGGATAACTTTAAATAATACTTTTCTTACTATGTCAGTTGGCAGTAAAAAAAAAATGTTATAAGAGCTATGAAAAGGAAGCATATGATTAGATATGACACTTGATGTTAGCTCATGTCTGACTACTTGTATTTGCTTGGAAGGGTATGTTAAAATTCTACCTTACATTATAGCATTCACTTGTCAGTAAGAATGGCTATCAAACCTAGCCAGTTCTGGATATGGTTCATTGCCCGATCAAAACCAAGAAGATTAGTTCCACTCTTATTCCAAAGTTCCTCGTTTACATAATAAGTACCCGAGAGATTAAAAATACCTGAATCCCTTAGCCAGATCTTGCAACTGAGAATAATAGGAGAGCATGTGCTAGCCATTTGCTCCTTCTCTGGGAAGACAGAAGGCTGAGGAAATCTAAATGCCCCCAAAGTAAAAAGCAACTATAAATTCCAGTGATAAGATACAAGCCTATGCTACTATTATTATTCAGGTCACAAGGGGAAGGGGAGAACCCCAACATTATAAGTCACAAAAAAACCATATTATTTCAAATGAGTTTGATCAATGCTTCTTCAAATGCAAAAAGTTTCAGATTCTGAAATGGGAACTTGGCACCATAAGTGCATTGTATTTTCTATGTAATTCTATAAGGGTATTTAAAAACCTTTTTTTAAAAAAAAATCTAGGCATCTCACAAAAACAAGCTACAGTAATAGTACTTTACCTATAAGCTTCAGGAAGTCTGATGGATTCAACCTGGACATAAGCTTTGGGAGTTCAACTGTGCTTATTGGAAATGGAAATTCACTTTGAAGTGGACTTCAACTGACCTCTGGGTTTATATGCTGCTCCAAAGCCTGCCCTTGGAAAACTACTCTTGCAGAATGAGTCAATCTCATGCCTAACTCTACTTTCCTTTAAGGGCAGAGGACTTCGTTTCCTTAGTCTTACTTACTTTCAAAACAACTGTCCAAATAAAATAAAGAAGAAAGGACTCTGCTTTGAAGGGATGCTCCTGGGAACTGTCACAAAATCAGACTGCTGTGGTAGTAAGCCAAGATATTTCCTATTCTTTGGCACTTTAATTTTTGCCTCGAGACAGTATTTATTAAGCTATGACCTTATACAGAGATTTTTCCTCTCAAATATGTAGAGTTTCTCCTCTCCCCATTACTGAGAATCTCTTAATGACTAAAAACCTGGGGTAAAAGTTCATTATATCTTCCCTAAGATCGCTGGATATTTTCTCATTAAGCTTGGGTAAGAAAAAACGGCAACAAAATGCATTTTTGTCACCAAAGACTTACAGCAGAGATTTTTAAGGAGATCTTGCAAAATTGCAAAAAGAGGAATGAAATGTGTTTGGCAGAAAAATAAGACCTTCTACTTGAGTGCCTCCAGTTCAAGCAAAGTGGTCCATTCCTCTTGGATGACACTTTTTCAGAACCCAATATTGTCTATGGTGGCTGCTTGAGCCAAAATGCTAATAGTTTACAAGGTTTCCCCAAGCTATTTCACGTGGTTCAATGAAAATTGAGTATTTGTTTGTATTTATTCTTTTATGAAGTATAAGCAACAATACAACCATGAACATATGCTTTAAAAGTACCTCAAATAACAAAGTCATGCATTGATACATAAATGTCTTCTAATTCTTGTTGAATTATAGTTTCATCTCTCTTAAATTTTACAGGGTTCAATTTAATTGCATTTTTGGAATGCAAAGAAGAAAATGATTGTTCTAGTCTTGCTTCCACAAAAAGTTCAGAAACGTTAACTATTCAACAAAGCTTTTTGTTGCTAAACTAAAACAAACATATTTTTTTTCTTTCTCCAGCTAATTTTTGTTGTTGTTCTTTAACCTATATAGTTGTAGAAGTGGAGCATAATTTCATTCTTAAAGGTACATCCAAACGGCATTGTTGAAGGTTTGACCTCTTTAAGATTTCACTTAGTATGCTCATCTTCAAAACCTTAATAAAATGTATTTAATCAAACTTCAAATAAAAGGACATGTGCCAATTAATAGTTTCCAACATGGATTATAGTGGAGAGATTATGAACTTCTTCCAGGTATCACCTGAGAAAGAATAAACCTTGCTGAGCCTTCCTAAGGACTTGCTTTAAAGTGACCAAATAAGCAGCTTCAGATCATGAGGAAGAAGCCCCTAGATCTGGCTGCTCAAGTGTAATATTCTGTATGACAATCCTTCAGCACAAAACAGTTTCCCACAAGTAAAGAAAGATTTTACTTTATTAAAATAATGTTCAAGGGAAAAAAAGGACCAGATTAATCAGAAACTTGTTCATAAAGTGAATGTGTATGTGGAGAAAAGCAATTATACCAAGCAAAGGACACAGTTTCCAGAGCTAAGCAATCAAATTATTAAAATTCCTTCTGCAGGAAAATTACAAAGTTATTTAACTGCACTTTATTAATGTGGAACATGATTATGATGATTTTAAATCTTTACTCCGCACCTCCTTCCTTCCCTGTGTCTTCCTTTTTTCTATTTCATTTCCCTCCAACAGTTATAAATTACATCATTTTTTGGGACATATTCCTCTGTTTAACCTACCACCAGTATGCCAATTTTTTCAAGCTATTAATGCTTTTAGGTATTGCCACAATACACTACCTTTTGTTTAAAAATACTTAAAAGTTAGCATTACAGAGCTAATTGAACTGACAAAATATACATATTAGAATGCCTGCATGGGGATTGGGATTGTGCTAAAAAGGCAACGCATGAAGCTACACAATTATAACACTGATGCCTCCGTGATTTAGAGATTCTCAAGAATCCCTTGGAGATCTTGGCCATAATTTACCACAAAATTAATTATGCTTAAACTTAGATGTTCACAATTAAGAGCCAGAAGAACCTCAGGGGCTAAATGGGCTCCTAAGGATCTTCAAAAGCTTTAGTTCAGAAAAGGGAGGACATGAATTTGACTGCAGTTTTTCCCTTTCTCTCTTTTCTTCCATATTCTTTTGAGCCTGTAAGAGGGCTTAAGGGAAAGGCAGAGCTTTATTTCACCCATCTCATAGAAATTGGGGAAAAGGAAAGCTTTCTGTTATATATATTCAAGAAAAAAGCCAGAGTCCTTTTAAAGATCTCAAAAAAGAGGCTGGTCGAAGAGAAAAAATTGGAACTCTTTAGTGAGAGATAATTCTTTTTCTTGCTTTGTAATGGTTTGGTTAAAAAAATGAAATAGAAGAACAGCAGAACAGTTCCCGTATTTCTTGGCATGTCAATTAAAGGAATACATGCATTCTTATTCCTCTGTATATACCTTTCAGATATTTGGGAAATTGTTCTCACATGAAATGTTTTTCAAGTAAACTGTATATTAAACCCTAAGTAATGATGATGGAGAGGAGGAAACCATTTGATTCCTGGCAAAGACCTCAATTAGCTTCCGCAGTTTTTTTGGCAAGATTTCAGAAGTGGTTTGTCAATGCCTCCTTCTTAGGGATGAGAGAGAGTGACTGGCCCCAGGTCACCCAGAGGGGTGAAATAATTCAGATTAGTTTTTTTTGTAACTCAGGATCTTCCAGTTATCTTGAGACCATAACTTCCAAAACTCCAATCCAATGGAAATATCTAAAGAACACCAGGGTGGGGAAGAATAGATTAGATCAGGGGTCACCAACCTTTTGGACTTCAGGGACCACCAAACTCATAATTTTAAATCCTACAGACCCCTAATATGAATTTTGACTGATTGTGGCTTGCTGATGTTGGTGGGAAAGTCGGTCCTATATTCTAGAACTGCAATAGTCACAGAACTGGCCCTTTGGACATCTTGGAGCAGCTGCTCCTCCACTCGGGTACACTGGCCTACAATAGATTGGAGGAGCTGCTCTGGGATGACCAAAGGACCAGTCCTGTAACTACTGCAGTTCTGGAATATGGGACCGATTTTCCCACCGTCAGCAAGCCACCCTGGGGCGGATTTCCCTCCTCCGCTGTTGGTCTTACCTTCCAGTTCCAGCTCGTGTGGCTCTACTCAAGGTAAGGTTTGCGCTTAGCTGAAGGGTGGGGGCCAGTGGGTGGGCAGGCCATGTGGGAAGCACAGCCTTGTGTTCCCGCATAGCCTGGATTGCTTTGGGGGGGGGGACATTTCTCTGCGGACCACCAAAATTTTCTCGCAGACCGTCAGTGGTCCCTGGCCCACCAGTTAGCGACCACTGTACTAGATGACCCTTTGTAGCATCACACTGTTATAAAGTTTCAATAGGGTAGTGAAAGCTCTATATAGGCTGTCCACTGAGTCATTTGGGCTGTCTCTTTGACTCGGTCATTCATATTGTCATGGCTGAGTCATTTTGAAAAATGTGAAGTCAAAACAGATAGAGGTTTATGAATGAATGATCAGACTATATATTTTGTTTGCAATAATTCAAAGCATACTACTAGATTATTAGCTGAGTACCCCTCTTTATATTTTAGTCTCCTTTTTTACCATCAACAAAATTGTTTGAAAACTAACAATTCACAAATCATGGCTGTTTTTTAAAAAAGCAACCTTGATTTCCAAAACGATGTTTCCTCATGTAACATGGTGATATCAAGTTACAATACATATTTACCTCTCATTTATTTTTGTAACAGAAAGGAGCTAGAAATCACAATTCTTACTTGTATAACATTTGAATGATGAAAAGTATAATACTGCTAAAGACTAGGGTAAGGTAAATGCAAATATTAGATAACTCTTAAGACAAAAGCTGCCAGTTTTATTTATGGATATACACACAAATTAGGGAGCTGTGTTCAAAGGAAGGTATTAGAAACAGATCATGAACTAGTAAGATCTGTAAAGCAAAGAAAGTTCTTACCTGCTCGAGGTTCTACAGTCCTATTTGCACCTTCGTCCATAAAGACAAACCGTCCGCCACCAAAGTCTTCTGCATAGTCTGATAGGTAGAGCAGTGATGTGTAATCAAAGGAGCCATAGGTCACCTATAAAGGAAAGAGTACTGAATATCAAAAGAAAGCTTGGGGATTGTACAAATACATAGGCCCTGAAAGAAGTTGGTTATCTGGATCCCTTTCAGTTGGGCTCCAAGTCCAAGTATGGCAATGAGATTGTATTGATCTCATCTGTGTTTGATCTCTGGTGAGATGTATCCCTTCTGGTACTGAATGATATTTCAGTGCTTTTCATACTATCAAACATAGTATCTCCCTTACCTGCCCCCAAGAGAAGGTGTAGGGCAACCTTACTTTGCAGCATTCTCAATTGGATCTGCTTCTTTTGCAGCCACATCATACTAGAGTTTCCATCTGCAATCAGCTACTTGTCATATTTTGTTCATAAACACTATTACTAAACTAGGTTTCTCCATCCCATATCTTATCTGTTTTTTTTTTTCAGTTTATGAAATACTTTGTATTTGTGATAAATTTCCTTCTGCAACTTTCAATAGATTGATTGAACTTTTCCAAGGATATTAGCTATTTTCATCCTCATTTCTAAAGAAGGGCTATTAACGAGCACTGTTTGAATCGGATTATTTAAAGTCAATTAAGCAACCTCTAATCATCATGTCATCCATTCAACACACAATTTGCTAATCAGAATATTATGAGATCCTTGATCAAATGGTTTGCTAAAATTTAGAATGATCTAGAAATCTAGATGATCTAGAAATCTAGATGATCTAGAAATCTAGATGGCTGCAGCATTTTCACAATCTAATAAAGTTACTGAATAAAAAACTAAGGTTATTCTAATAAGACTTATCCATGACACATATATGCTTATGTTTAGTAATTATCACATTATTTTCAAGGTAATAGAAATCAGAGACATAATTACTGACTGGTGGATAGTTTCTTGGATGGTCTCTTTCTTGAATGGTCTCTTTCCCCGTTTCAAAGATAGGAAAATTTGTTCTCTTCCAATCATATGACATTTCACCAGTTCTTCACAATTTCTTAAAAATAACATGAAGGTTTGTCAAACCTTCTAGGGCAGCTATGCCCTTCAGTATCAAAGGATGCAATTCCTCTGACTCTGGAAACTTAAGATTCATGTAAAGAAAAGAAGTATTCTCTCATCATGTTTTGTTAAATTGCTCTGTCCCTTCATTCTGCTCTTCATAATTTTCTTAGACCAGCTTTGCTGGCTGAGGAATTCTGGGAGTTGAAGTCCACAAGTTTTAAAGTTGCCCAGGTTGGAGACTCCTGCCTTAGACAGCAAATATATTCTTGTGGGAGAAGACCAAACCAAACAGCAAGAAAAAGGCTATTTCCTGTTTGCCTTTTCTCATTTTCATTAAGCAGTTGGCATAATAATTTGTATTTTTCCCTTTTATGTTGAACATATATGAATAATATTTTTTCTACTTGTTCTACTAACAGCAAATAGGATTTTCTCCATTTGTTCTTTTTTAAAATATACTGTATCCAGTACTTATATACAATCACTTTTCAAAAGGAAAATTATTATGTGCTGCATGTTCCAAAACTAATTTTCTTCAAAAAATTACTATCCTTCATCCATTTGTTTTAAGAATGGAAAATATGATGAGGCATTAGCATATGCAAATGAGAGTATCTTTGCAGAGAATCGATCAATTATTTTGCATAATTTCCTAATCATTTATTGAAAGACCCAAATGAGCCTTCTGCTGTATTTTTTTTCAGCTGCTGTTACCATAAAATTTGTTTAATAAAGAGAATAGGACTGCCTTCAAACACAAGGTCTGATATTTGTCTTAAAGTGCTTTACGTTAAAGTGCTTAAAGCTAAAATGTCAATAACTTGCAACTATTTTCAGCACCACTTAACCTCTGCTGACAAGTGCAAATGTATTCCAACAATACAGGAAAAATCCATACAAATGTTTATGTCAGCAATTCACAATTTCCTCAATCAATAATATAGAGTGAAATGTCCATATGATGTTTCAAACCCAATTTTTCATAAGTTACTGAATAATCAGTATTTCTAATCTTACAACTTTGAGAAAAATATATTTTCACTAGAATGAAAGTGTTGAAGGTCACAAATGTAATATTTGTGGAACCGTTATAACCCAGAAAAGGTGGTTTTTTCATTGTTTTTTCCTTATCTACCACAGTTCAGTTTTACAGAAGAGTGTAATCTCCATTGCAAAATGTGTTGCAGAATGCTGAGCTAAATGTTTTGGTGTGACATTGTCACTCACATTCGGTTGAGTGGAAGGTAATAAGTTGGTGATCTCTTCCAATCACCAGAAAGGTTCAGAAAAAAGATGTTGGCTAGATAAAGGACAGAATGCCCAGTTTCTTCCTGATGAATATAACTTCAGGATCTTTCCAAGCCTTACCATTTATGGGGAAGTAATGATGGACTGAGGACCTAAGAGCCACCACAAGATAAAAAACAGGCAAGTAGACTTGCTTTTTGATAATTCTTCTCCGGACAAGGAGTAGACTTGAAATTACAAGTGCTCCAGGCCATTCATGAAATGACTGCTAAATAGCAGTCTCCAGCAGGATTACAGCTCTGGGTGGTGAGGAATCAAATCAAATCAAATCAAACATTTATTGTCAATGCATAACATGTGTACAATGAAATTGAAATGAGCCTCCCTTGGTGCAGCTCCCCCCCCAAAAAAATAAAACATAAAATACATCTTGTACGTTGCGCTGGCCCTATAAAACTATAATATAAAACCTAATTGTGGTGTTATGTTGCAAAATAGTTATGAGGAAATAGCCATCTTGTTCAAATGGTAGTCAGAGCCTTTGAAATTGTCATGGACCAGGCTTAGGACTCACGTACGGAGTCTGAATCTGACACTGAACAACCTGCAGCTGAATTGGTAGTATGTCAAGAGGAATCACACGAGGCTGATCAAACACATGTACCACATGATCAGCTGGAAAAATCAGAAAATGACATGTGACCTCCCAGCCCATGCATGTGACAATTAGAGAGCAGAGAAGGTCTAATAAGACTCCTCGCCAAGCAAAGAAGAAAATCTTCTAATTGGCTGCAACTTATCAAAGAATCTACTTTGTCTGTTTCTTTGCTGGAAATATCTCATGTCTCAAATCACATTTGTGTGTGAGTTTGGTTCTTGGGCCTTTAACCTTTGGACTAGTTGATAACCTTAACTTGATCTTGAAACACTGAGCTGGTTCTGGATGATTCTTTGGCATGCTCCAGTTTTCAAAGTAAAGGCAAGCTTTGGCTTTGTTTACATGTCTTGTTTCCTGTAACTTCAACCTAGTATACTGATAATTACCCAAGAAATGTCCATGCATGTATGTGTGTGACTGAAGCCTGCAGCACGGCACTAAAGATACTAAGTTCACAAATTTCCTTTTTTAATCACTTTCAAACATTACTTGCTAATTAATTTGCAGCTGTTATGAACCTTTAGCTTGACAGGTTTTATAGCACCAGGTATTTCCTTCAATCCTTAGCCAAATAAGTTTTAACTAAAAGTTTTAAATATATAAACATTTTTTTAATAAACAGCAAAAGGGTGATTAAAAGTTTGACTTTAGAAGGTTACAAACGAACTAAGGGTTCAGATAAATATGAAATAAGATTTTGGAATTAATTATAAAGAATCCTTCCTATGGGAAAATGCTTTTGTTTTGCTTTTTTCTTTCTTTCTTTAAGATAATAAGATTTTAAAAGTTAGGTACTAAAGTGAACTAAACATTATAAAGTTGATACACACTCACAATTACAGAATTAAGCAAAGTATTTTAACATTACACAATAACTAAAGGTATTTTTAAACAATGGATCCTGAAGTTCATTTTAAGAGTATCCACCTCTAGACTACTTAAAAGATGTTATGGAAAAGAAATAAGTTCTATCTGACAATATCAATACTAATTTGATGATGACTTTAAAATGACAGGGTACAAGAACATGGAAAAAGATGTTACCCTAGTCATACAAAGGAAACAAGGGTTGGAAAACTATATTAAAGATTTGCCATTTTTCCTCAGAGGGGGAAAAAAAACCCAGTGACTTATTATATCACAGTTTTAAGACAATCATTATGTTTAATCCATGAAATGTGAAAGCATATTGATACAAAGAAGCACCAATCAAAGCACACCCCAAAACTATGCATATAATTCTGAGTTCCTTCAAAAAGCAAAGAAGAGAATATAATGAAACAGACCATGTTCCATGTGAAAGCTCAAATGATGGGAAAACCTATCCATTTAAGCTACTTTCATTCCTTTCATTTTTCCAGAGTTCATATAATGCAAATTATTACTAATCATTACTGTATTAATAATTATTACTTGCCCTCAACAATCATTGTCTACTAGGATCAGTCTTTAACATCTTTTATCTTTTTATGTTTTACTGATTTTATTGTAATGTCTTTGATTGTTGTGAAATGCTCAGAGTCACAAAATGTTGGCAACATACAAGTTTAAAAAATATGATTCGTTGCACAGCCAGCCATACCTTTAGACTGGATTTATCCATATATGCAATCCTTCCATTATTATTATTATTGTCTTGTTATTGTTGTGGTGGTTAATCTTTGATGAGATTCACAGACTTTGGGGCTGGTTGATAGCTCAACAGGTCGAGTCTTGACCAAGGACCTAGGAACTGTTCAGGTAACGTTCGAGGATATAAGCTGTTCCAAGTAGGGTGGGGTTTTTTGCAGAATCATGGTATTCAAGTCTAATAAATTCAGAATTTCCAAATAGCGAGATAGCCCTTTAGGTATTGTTCCAAGGGCTCTAATTACAATTGGGATAACACACAATTTCTTTTTCCAAAGTCGCTCAGCTTCAATTTGTAAGTCCCGATACTTTGTGATACTTTCTTGCTGCATGTCTACAATTCGTGCATCACCAGGTATTGCAATGTCAATGAGCTAACACTTTTTCTTTTCAACTATTGTTATGTCAGGTGTATTGTGGGCCAAGTGCCTGTCTGTATGAATTCTGAAATCCCACAAGATCTTGACTTTTTCATTCTACAGAACCATCTCAACCTGATGCTCCCAGTAGTTGTTACTATACTCAGATCCAAACTTTTGGCATAATGAATGATTTTAGCAACTCAGTTATGGCATTCTAAGTAGTCAGTTTGTGAAATTTTGCTGCATCCACTGATTAAATAGTCAACTGTTTCACCTTTCTCATTACAGAGGCAGCATTTGCTGTTGGTCGTGACATGCTGAATCTTTGCCTTCATGCAATTTGTGGCTAAGACTTGTTCTTGAGCAGCCAAAATAAAGCCTTCAGTTTCTTTTTTCAGTATTCCTGTGTTTAGCCAATTCCAGTTAAGTTTTTGGTCAGATGACGATGATGATGATGATGATTATTATTATTATTACAAGAGGTATGTTCAATTTAATAAAAATAAGATAGATGAAATGTTATAAATGTTAGGTTATAGTCTTTGAACTTACATTGGGAGAATTGCCTAAAAAACATTTTTACTACTAACTTCCTTTTTCTGAACAGAAAATCAGAATATAAACTGAATAAATAATGGATTACAGCATACAAGTATAAAAGGCAATAGAAAATCAATGTGATAAAAAAAAATTCTAAAAAATAAGAAACTAAACATACCCCCAAAATAAGATCCTCAAAGTCATATACTAAAAATATTTTAGCATTATCAAGATAAGAAAATCCTCCTAACGAACAAAGTGTTACAGATCCTGATCCTACATTTTCATATTATCTAGAAAAACATAATAACAATCAACAGAATGGCCAGACTGATTATGTAATTTAATAGGAATCAGCCCTAGGATTTTAACTTCTAAATTTAGGCTCAACAAAAAGGGGAGCACTACAAATTTAAAAGTCCTCCTATATCCATTTAGTCATTAATACGTTTCATTAAGCTCAGCAGGAGTTACTTCCAAGAAGGCACACATGGTACTTACATGCTAAAATTACATCAGAGCATCGTGACTCTTTAATTAGAGTGCTAGCACTTATATATGCAGGACACCAATGCCAAAGGTAGATATTTAGAAGAATATTAAGGAAAATATTATTTCAAAATCTCATTACCTTGTCAATATGAGGATGCCAATATTCATCATGGGTTGTCTTTGCTTCTGAATTATTTATTCTAGAGAAGAAAGTTGGCTTCGTCAAATACATGGAAGATGAGCTGATGCCAAAAGTAAGAGCTATTTTTTGTTGAATTCTTAGCCTCACATCACTACAAATGAGAAAAGACCACCAGAACTGAGTAAAACTGCACAAAATAGATTTATTTTAAATATATTCTTTTATTTAACAATATCTAACATACACAGATTATTAAAAGAAATTCATGCACATTCTCTCAAGCATTCTATAACATATGTGAACACAATTAATTGGATAGCAGCCTTAGAGAGAATAGGTTTTATTAATTTGTTTATAGTTCAGTTCAGTTTATTTCTGAAGCTTCCAATTATACAAATACTGTATATGACATGCACTTTATATTCTACTACTGTAACCTTCAATCTGAAAAAAAGTGTAATTTGTTATTTATTTTTCTAATTGTGCTCAGTTTCACACACCACATAGGTCATAAATCAGATTTATAAAACACAACAGGTGAATTCAATCTTGCCATAGAAAAGCTTCCTACCCAACAAACACTTTGGTTAATGGAAGTAGAGGTCAAGAGAAATTCTGTCAGTTTTGGGTGGAAGGCCTGAAGCAGGCAGAGTGGGAACCAGCGATAGTACTATTATCTAAAAACTGGGCAGTTATTTCCCCCTTCAAGGCCAGAAGAGAATTGGCCAATATCCAAAGAGGTAAAAAGAAAAGACTTAGAATTTAAGTGAATGCTGTAAAACTCTAAATAGTCTCTGAGTTACAACTCTTAGTTCAGAACCCACTCAAAGTTACAGCCACACTGAGAATAAATGGTACTTAAGCCCCATCACCAAATTATAATCATTGCAGCATCCCTGAAGTCATGCAATCACAATTTGGGTGCTTACCAGCCCACCTGCATTTATAAGCTACAGATGCACTTCACCCTCCCCCCAACTCTGCCCTTTTGGCCCCCTGTATTCATTAGCCCCTGCTGTCCCTTCACTGTCTTCTTACCCCCGAAGCCACTGAGTATTTGAGCATAATACATTTGAATGTTTCTCTATATCCATGTGACAGAATCCAGTGTCCATATTCTCAATTTTTATCCACACTGGAAAATTTAGAAGAAAAGATTTTTTTTCTTTTTCTTTGCAACTCAAAACTGTGTATCAGAAAGTCTTATTGAACTTTGAGTTGTAACTTTGAAGGGTTGCTCAACAAATGGTAATAATTTAAGAACTACCTGTATTATAAAAGAACACGTTTTTATATCATCTCAACAATCATTTCTTTGTCAATTTTATTGATATTCATCTTAACAAGAATGCTTTGGGAAATTTCTGAACATATTTCAATAAACATGGTGATCTTTAAGTCAATTTAAATGTCCCTGTTATGATGAATAATGGGTTCGATTTGGGGCAATTTACACAGGTTTGGGAAACACTGATCTAACAGCACAAACTTGCACATAGCATAAATGCTTCTTTCTTTCATTATCCACACTGCTTCTTTTCCGTATTTCAGTTCTACCCTTTAAAAAAAAGTTTATTAAAAAAAGTTTATTCAGGAAACTTATTTTACCAAAGCAAATCAGTTTGAAAGTCTTGTCTATTTTTTTCAGTAAACTTTGCCCATCATTTAAAAATCTTCCTCAATAACTAGTTTCTATTCACATAGACTATTTGACAAAAATCAATTCAGGCACTCTAAGTAGACAATGGGGCTTTTCTTTAGCTATTCCCTTGAGCTGCCGCTCTGAAAGCTATCCAGACTGAATTGTACTGAAAAATCCTTTAAGGATTTCTTCTGTGCTCTCTTACACAATAGCTGTGATTATACTGAAAATGCATCAGATGCTCTTTAATACAGAGCCATGCTCAGAGATGATAATCCAAAATGAAAGGTTATTTTTATATCAACCCACCATTTAGACTTGTGTTTATCTGCCTTTTCAGAATGAATCTTCTACCTAGAACTGGCTATATTAGAGACAGTATCGAGTACAAGAAGAAAATACACAATGTAACCTGAATTGTGATCATAACATCTACACAGCTAGATTTCATTCATGAGTCAGATTAATATAATTAAGGCTACCTCATCTTTTTCTGGTTCAAAATACAACATGGCAATACAATTAATGCTTCCCAAAACAACCAGACTGACAAAAATTCCTGACAAACAATGACAAGTCCAGAATGCTCTCACTAAGCATTCCTGCTCCGAGTTTCTATTCAAGCATCATCCCTCAGTCCTTCTCTGGTCCTCTCCAATGGCAATGAACAACCGATGCCAACCAAGGCTAATGTGGTGTAGTGGTTCAGATGCAGAATCAGGAGTAGGGAGATACAGGTTCTCGTCCATCAGCCACAGAAGCCCTCAGGTTGATTTTGGGACAGTAACTCTCTCTCAGCCTAACCTACCCTTCAGATTTATTACTGTAGGGAAAAACATGATGGCAACTTCATATCAACTTTACTAATCTTAAGTATTACCAATCTTGAAAAAGGAAGCTGCACAAGAGACTCTCTCCTTTTGCCATTTAAGACTGTACCAAAATCAAATGCTGAGATTAAATAAAGTCTAGGATGCCTCAAGCTACGTTTAACCAGATTCTTTCTGTGTTCTACCCCGCCATTCATTAGTGGTAAAACAGCAGTGATTTCATGAAGATTTTTCTCTTCAAGCTATTCAAATGTTTTCTGAACTAATATTTCTACAATGCAAAATATTTCATCTTACTTTGCTACATAACAAGTTAAGACAATGATCAATTCAAAAATTATGCTGCAATATAATTTTTTTCGAATACAGTAATAAACAAGGGGTACTAGTATAATGAATTTGTATTAGCCAGATGACTGGAGAAAGCAAAAATAAAATTTTATAATACCTGGATTTTCTTACCGATATAATTGAAAATCGTCTTCTGTGAAGATGTCATGGATTTTATCATTAAAGTATCTGGAGGGAAAAGAAATAAATGACTCATGAAACCATTTCACAGATAATGTAGATTAAATCTTTGCACTAAACAATTACTTTCAATACTCTTTCAATTGTTTACTTAGATCACAATTTTAATACACAATTATTTTAAAAGTTTCGGAACAATATGGAAATACTGAAGCTGTAAAAAATGACTTCGGTCAGGTCAGCTTTAGGGTTGTCATGTTGATTCTGACACAATACTTATTAAGTCTAACACACTAATTCCAGTAAGTACACATTACTATGGAAAACCTGCAGCTTGTTTAAAAAAAAAAAATATAAAATGAACAAAAGCCTATTTCCACATCCAATATCCCCAAAACAGTTATCACATATTCTTTGCTAAATGAAGAGAAGTGCTGAAAACAGAGTAACTTGTGGCTTTACACCTGTTTAACAGACAGAGAACTAAAAGAACAAAGATCAACCATTCTAAAGGTGGATATATTAAAATGCAATTCTAAATTTACCTGTACATATTAACAAAATGCTTCCCCAAAGAAAGGGCTCCAGAGTGCAAATCTAGAATTGAAGCCTGAAATAGGAATAAATATATACATTCAGTACAGACAATGGAAAATATTTAAGGCATGTTGCTTTCTTTAAAAATAAGACAGATTACTCTGGAAGTCATATTTCTATTCTACAATGTTCTGAGAACTTAACGTAAAAGTGTGCTGATTGTAAGTATTTCCCAAGAATCAAGGAAAGTCAAACTTACTCTGAATTATTTCCCAATAATTCTTTATCTATTCATGTCAAGCTTTGATATCACAATTCATACACAATGGTTACCAGTTATGAATACAGTGAGGCTTACCATTATTTCTGGAGGGAAAAAAGTTATGCATTTCAAGAGGAGTGGATTTTATTTAAATTGTGATTTAAACCATGATAGAAATCACTATTAAGAAACAATGATTTAAATCACAATTTCTTCAATAACTAAAAATATTTAATAACAATTAACCCCTCCAAGACTTAGCCAATTCAGTTGGTTCTAGATTATTGTGCATTTATCCCTCTGCTTCTTCTGTTGGGTAAAACGAACAAGCAAATTAAATCATATAGCAGGAATGGGCAACTTTTCCACATACCCTGACTTTTTACAGAATTATAATTAAGCAAGTCTGAATTTTTCCCTGATCTCATTTTTTTTCAGAATAAACCTCAAGACAGAAAATGATCAGACCTCTGAAGTGGTTTCACATTACAATAAAGAGCAATACGTTAGCATCTTGCAGAAGGGATCCAGAAATAATCCCTCTTAAGTGTACATGACCAAGAAAAAATGCTTGACAATATATTTGTATTTAAGATGAAGTTATATACGAAATAAAATGCAAACAAAGGTTATTTGTTTAGTAAGGTTAAGCTATGGTATATTTTTATTCAAGAGTCAGTTTTTTTATATACTCCATAGAATATCTTATTTATTTATTTTTAATTAACATTAGGAGCAACAGCAGTAATATTCTCTTTCATGACCTTGATCAGATTACATAGGAACCTGTTCAGCTAGTAATTGAGGTTAGCTTTACAATATGCTGACAAAGTAAGTAGCTTTTAAAACAAAGTTTTCAGTTTCTACAAAAACGTGCCAAGTGACTTGCTGTACAAAGGGCATTAACAGAAACAAAATATCAGGAAAGTCATTCACTCAGGAGAATCTGGTCACCAGCATAAATATGTATGGTGACTCACAAGGTTAGAACACTGGGCTGATGACTGGATGATTTGAGACCCGTTGATGCCACAGGGCGGGGTGAACCCAGTGGTTCAAAAGTGGGTGATCGCGAGTAGATAAATGGGTGCAACTTAAGTAGGAAACTTCATGGGGACTCAGAAGGATCCTCCAACTGAGCAACAGTGATGTCACTGGCAAATATTTTGTTCAATTGTACTTTATTAATTTGATTCGTTTTGTTAGTTTTTATTGTTTTTTATTTTAAATAGGATTTTACATTCTGTAAGCTGCCTCAAGGCGAGTAGGCAGCAATATAAATTCAATCAAGAAATCAAGAAATCCTTTCATCATGGAAGGACTTTTGTGCTTCTGAAATGGAATAATTAGTATACCAGCATAAATAAAACTTAATGAAAGCATTTGCATGAAAGATACACATTCTTATGGCATAGCAGGTGAATATCATAATCCTTAATATGAAGTGCTCTCTGAGCTAGAACAATGATGATGTTACATAGTTTGATTAATGAAATATCTGCAAGAAAACAACGAAGCTCAGAGAGTACCAAGGACCTCTCATTTCAATCCTAAACTACAAATACTCTCCTTTACTGATCCTTAATCAGCAGAAATGGCAAAGTAGCTTATAAGTGATGCAGATCACATATACACATAAATTCATCTTAATTGATATCATCATACTACCAATTTTAGAGCAGCAAACAACCCCTCTTCACCAATTCCATTCAGTGTGGTTTAAACTATGATACTAGGTAAGACCTTATTTGTGACAACATCTGAATATAGAAATCTTCACTTGGGCAAGCAGGACTACCCCATGTGCCTTTAACTAAAATATGAGAGACTAATAATTTAAAGCATTTATGAAAAGATTGTCCATCTCTCTTGCATCAAATAGAAGGAAAACCATGCAAAAGCAGAGGGATTTCTGATTGAACGATCTGAAACAACTGAAAAGAAGTCAACTTGTTATTTAGAGAAACAGATAAAAGCAATACTGAATCAGCTTGATTTATTGGAACTATGTGAAATTTATAAAAAAAAAAAAAACATCCTAAACAGAAATATTATGAAAAAGGTATAAACCAGACACTTTGTTAGCTTATCCATTTCAGAAGAATGGAATAAAAGAAAGATAGCTTCTATTTGGGAAAGAACCCAATACATCTCTAAAACAAATTACATTATTCAGCAACTCATCAATTATTTTTGGAAATTGTACAGCAAATAGCTACCTGATCCAGCAAAAAATGAATATTTAAATGGCATATTATTTTAAATATTACTAATCAGCAAAAAGCTTTCACCCAATAACAGAAGTCAAAACTAAAGCTTCCATTAAAAAGTTAAAAATGAATAAAACTCCAGGACCTGATGATAATTCAACAATATAGTACAAGATTTTTCAAGAAAATTCTGACTAAAATTTCAACTCAACGAACTAATGAGATTAAGATACATGACAAATTTCCAGCATCATGGAAATATTTTTTGTTCTTTGATTCAGAAATGAACAAATGATATGACTCTTTCTGAATCACATTAGATTTCATGTGGAAAAGACATTGGGAAATAATGGGAAGAGATGCTGTCCAGCAGACAGTCAGTTAAGACAGTGGTCACCAACCAGTGGGCCGCGAGAAAAGTTTGGTGGGCCACAGAGAAATCTCACCCCCAGAGCACCAGCACAAAGCAATTAATCTAGGCTGCGCCACCCACATGGCATCCTATTTTTCCTTTTTCCGACCATCATCTGTTCTGCGGTGCCGGGAGATTTAGATTAGCTAAGAAGCAGGAAATGGTTGGATTTCTTGCTTTCTAGGTAGTCTTTAGAACTTCAGCTCAGCACAGCCGAACCTCCCTTAGAACTGAAGGTTTGCTTGCAAGCAAATTCAGTGTAGACTCATGGCAAGCAAATTTGAAAGACTGAGCTAGCCAATGGCAGATAGATAGATCACTGAATGATTCTGTGAGCAACTCAATTTGCCTGCTTTGCCTGATTTTAGGTAAAAGTTGCTCTTTTTTAAAATAAAAAAAAATCAATATTTACATGCATGTTGTGTTGTGAGTTAATTTTGTGAGTTTGCTTGCAAGCAAATTTTATGTGACAGATTGAGCTAGCCAATGGCAGATAGATAGATCCTGAATGAATCTGTGATTCTGTGAGCAACTCAATCTGCCTGCTTTGCCTGATTTTGGGTAAAAGTTGCTCTTTTTTAAAATAAAAAATTCAATATTTATATAAATGTTTATAATATTTACATACAAGCCATGCCCAGCCAGTCACATGACCACCAAGCCACACCAACAAATTAGGCCATGCCCACAGAACCAGTTAGTGGGCCCTGGGATCTAAAATTATGAGTTTGGTAGTCCCTGACGTCCAAAAGGTTGGTGACCCCTGTGTTAAAAGACAGCACAGTTCACAGTTGCAAAATAGGGTGGGCAAGAAGTTCAGACCCACCTAGCTTTTGGGGCTATAAAGGAGACAGAGTTAGGTTTAGGGTTAGAGTATTTTCAGAATTTTAAGGTTGATGTCAGCTATTCCAGTTGAACCAGATAGGACAGAAAATATGACCAGATAAACTAATTCTACTTTACTGTAAAGCTAGATTACCAGAATAGCAATAGTAATAGCACTTAGACTTAAATGCCGCTTCACAGTGCTTTACAACCCTCTCTAAGCTGTTTACAGATCAGCATAGTGCCCCCAACTCAACTAATAGACTTCCTAGATTCAATCAGGAAGATATAGGTCACTATGGTTTGGTATTAGGATATCAGATTAATCAGAATAAGACACCAAGAGTTACATGGAATCTATCAGGAAAAAAAAGGAATAGTAATGCTCTTAAGCCAATTAAGTACTTGGGAATTCTACTCGGCAAAATATAAAAAGATTTATTTAAGAATAATTATTCACATATTTGGAAACAAAATATAATGGCAGATATTTTAATAGCAAAGAATGCTAAACTTGTCCTGATCAGAAAGGATATGTGCAGTAAAAATGAATATTTTTACCAAGAATTAATTCTCAGTTTCAAATAATTCCAATAAGAATTGAAGAAAAGTTACTAAATGTGTACCAGAAATGAGTAATTAATTCTATTTGATTAAATAAAAAATGACAATAAAATTTAAGATTTTGCAATATCTCAAAGAAATAGATTAGCAGTCTCAAACCTTAAATTATATCATTATACCAGTTGTTTAATCCAAATCCCTAGCTTCAATTTTAATTATGTATTTTCCTGAAGGTGAATATATAAATATTTGACTAGTGGAGATTCATACTGATAAAATAAAGATGAAATCTTTTGAGATTCTCTCCTTAGAATGGTTAGAATTGCTGATTGGTTTCAATACCTCTATATCTCTATCTATGTAGGTAGTATAGTTCAAACAAGGGAGAATACTCAAGAGACTTGAGTGAATTTTTAAAAGTTGTTAACTCAAAACATTTGTTGAGGCTTATTTCTAAGCTGTTACTGAAGTATGAACTAGAAACTGAACAGGTTAAGGATTGTTGTATTGCTGGAATCCAAAATCAATAGTCAAAGTTGGGTTTTTACTGTGCAATAAAATAGCTAGAAGCCATCACAATAGTAGATGAGGTACATAAAAAAAGATTTAGCAAACTAAGCTGTGGATTATGCATCAATGTCAAAATTAAACATATATTTTAAAATAATTCTGAATTTAACTTGAAAACTTGTTCTGAACTGTTATTCTATATGTGGACTTGTACTATATGCAAAGTTTGGGCCTCTTAAGGGAGGGTCTCAAACTTTGGCAACTTTAAGACAAGCGGACTTCAATGCCTAGAATTCCTCAGCCAGCAAAGCTGTTTAAAATACCAAGTCTTGTCTCTTTTGTCTAACAAAGACAAATCATTTAAATTTGGTAAAAAAGAAGTTATATACTGTACTTTATTCTGATTAACAGCTCTTATTTTTTATTAATTATTGATATGTGATTTGATTTTAGTAATTAAGATTACTGTAATATTAACCCAATATTATTTTGAAATGTTTTATTTAATATTATACTATGTGGAATTTTTTTCAGTTTTATTCTTTTTTTTCTTTCTTTTATCATGACTGTGCTATTAATATATTACAAAATAATCATACCAATAACATTTGTTTATGGAAGAAAGCTCCTAAGCCTATCAGTCAAGTTCAATCGTGTGATCATTAGTGCATTTAAAATTCTGTGCTTGAAGACATTTTGCATAATGGAAAATGAGCACACTGATTTAAGTAACCAATATATCCTAATGGAAACTTATTTGACAGATGGAAGGCAAGCAAAGAACAGGCAATGTACAGTAATGGCCAAAATTGTGGAAACCTTTTGGGAAAAGTATATTTTTGAGGTTTGATGGCTAATAACACCACTTTTTTGGAGTAGTACCATAAAATTATATATCAATGGAATGATAATTTAATCAAGAATGTGATGCAACAAGTTTGTCCAATTATCTGTGCTCTATGAAGTTATAGCCAAATAACCAGAAAAAGGAAGCACAACTTGCTTAGGTTGATATCAGGTAGCTTTGCTTCATCTTATTGTAGCCAATGAGCATGAGTTTTTAGATAGCGAATCAGGTGTCATCTTGTTTTGCAATGAGCCAATCAGATCACAGTAGGATTCAGTTATTGATGTCATGTATTGAAGCTTAGAGGAGGACATTTGTCACTATGTTATGTGATTGATGTCAAGTTGGTTGGGTTTTTTTTTGTTCTTTCATTTAGTGAGCTTGTAAAGCGTAATAAATTAAAGTAATGGTGCAAAGACTTGACTGGTCACCCAGAAAGCGATGTAAAATAGTATTATTAAGTGAATAAGGCTACAGTTACAAATAAATTAGAAGAAAAATTGGTGGAAACTTAACCAAAGATGGCATTTCTAAGTTTTTGAAGAGGTATAAAGAGACTCAGTCATACAAAACCACACTGGTAAAGGCAGGAAAAGGTGCACAATATCAAGTGATGATAGAAGAATTAAGAGACTGTGCCTACATGACAGAAGAAAATCATCTGGCTGTATACAAGATGAAAAGGAGCAATGCAATGTGATGTTGAGTGCCAGGATTGTTCAGCGTAGACTGCAGGAATTTGGCCTAAAATCTAAAATTCCACAAAAAAAAAAGCCACTTTTATCTCTCAACCAAAAGTTGAAAAGACTAAATTGGAGTAAAACCCATGTTACCTGGACAGAGGAACAATGGGACAGTGTTATTTGGAGTGATGAGACCAAGATCTTCATTCGGTAATGAAGGCATAAAATACGTAAGGAGACACTTTTCCCAAAAGGTTTCCACAATTTTGGCCACTACTATACAGTTCTAAGAGAACAGAAAGGCAGACTGAAAGTGGGTCCTTCTCACTCACCTAGATCAAGAGACTTTATGCCTTTCAAACGATAGCAAGGATACATTGATTCCTTATTGAATAGGCTGTACATTTTCTAATAAAAAAAAAAAGACACTAAGATCGAATGGCAAAATCTGGGATCTAATGTTACTGGATCACAGATAGTTGAGATTCCTATTAGTAACTGAAATGAACATTTTGACAAATGAAGATGAGAATGGACGCCCGTTTTTGTCTGACTGGTACTTCTCCCTGAAAGACAGTGTAAAACATAATCTGAAGAATCTTGCCTGAATACCAGAAGAATGTAAGAAAGTAACGGGACACTGCTCACCCCTCCATCCGATCCTCCCAAGGACAGTCCCCTCTCTGCTATTCTGTGGACGAAACAACAATCTCAAAACATAGCTTTTCCCCCAGTTGTTTACAGATGCTTTTGAAAAACGATTTGCCACCATTGATAAAGAAGAAACAGAAAAGAAACAGCCCCCTTGGATCCACAACAGGTAAATCAGCATAACAGGTGGCCCTCATAATCTGTGAAGTTTCATTCTCAAGGGTTCAAACTCAAGGGATTAAAAAACTGTAGATATGACTTTAAAAAGAGATAATTTATGCATAGACAAAAGCTATCCAGAATATTGTGTTCATGTAAATTGGGGGTGGGGGTGGGGAGCTCCAAGCTACAGTTACATAATTTTTTCCGCATGATCCAGACTCCAGGTGATGAGGGGCACCTGTGCCACATACATTACTCAGCAAGGCAAAGCATTTGCTAGTAAAAATGGCAAAACCCAAAGCTCTGCGCTTACCCAGCCATTTCCAGGTAGGATTACTCCAAAGGTTAGCAACTCAAGTTTTGAATTACAAGTGAGCAAAGGATAGGAAAATCTAGTTTATTATCAATGAAATAATTTCTATGGGAAAATTGGAATTTCTAGGCTGAACAGAGGAGTTTAAAGATGCAGTGGAGAGAATGAAAAGGGAGCAATTGAAGTACCTTCTGTGAAGAAAAGAGCTGCCCATCTTTACTGAAAAAAGTGATAAAGCCTCTAATTAAAGCTTTCAGTTCTTTCTCTGTTTACTGCTGAAAACTAACCTTAGGGCTGGTCAAGGTGTATTTTCCCAGCTAAAGTTTAGAGCAGTTGAATGTGGGAAGAACAACAATTTAGGCTATCTAAGAAATAGGGCTGGCAAGGGAGAAAACAGCATACTGTGCTAACAGCACAGCATACTGTGTAACAAGGCCAAAATATACATTCATGCTGAGCTAATCAACATTTCATAGGAATGCTGAAACAGAGGCATATAGTGCAGAGTATAAAACTGTATATACTTGATATAAATATTGTGTTTATATACACAAACACACATACTCATTAATAGAGATACAGTATGTGTCCATGGAAAGTGTATCTAGATCAGGGCTGTCAAACTCCTGGCCCGCAGACCGGATGCATCATGCGCTGGCCACACCCACACCCGGTTTAGCGAAGGGGAAAAAAGTCCCAATATGTCACATGATGCTGTGACAATGTGAGATTAATACCCCTGATCTAGATAGATCAAACTATTCTAGATTGGCTTTCTGGATTTCCAGATCCAAATTCCAAAATATAAAAATACAATGGAAACAATTTGGAAACCTGGTTTTAAATTATGGACAGTAATTTATTTACTGTTAATAAACAAGTTAATACAGTTAGAGAGGAGGTATAAGCTCATGTTTTAAAAGGAAACATTTGATCCTTTGGCCTTCCCAACCTTAATTCCATACCTGTTAAATGAAATAATGGTGACTTATGTCACAAGCATGTTTGAATGTAATAGAATGCAGACCAAAAAGTATGATTCATGTTATATCAGGAGAAAGGGTCTAAGACTCTTTAGATATTCTAGAACAAGAATTCCCAGATGTTTCACCAAAGTCCTCTTGACTAAGACTGAGAAAATTAGTGGAAAGTGGACTCTTTGGTGCTCTCTAGACATTTCATTTCCAATCTAGGTAGAATCATCAACATAAGTGAGTATGGGGTTTGCTCCCAGTTTATATACAATAGCTTGCCCTGTCAGTATTAATGGGGATGTGGTTTCTCCTTGGTATTTCCTTGATTAGGGATTGTTTTCTACTTGTTTGTTTGCCTGGTGCTTATCCCAGCTTATCCGGTTATTGGCTTCTGTACAGCAAATGTTCTGTGGTTTCTTTTTGTTTCCTTCTTAGCTTTTTTTAATTGTCTCTTTTGAATGATGTGTAAATAATGTTTAATGCTGTATACTGGAAGTCTTTGTTTAACAATGCTATTGTGACTGGTAACTCTGTTAAGTAACATGGTCATAAACTGAAACAATCATGTGACTGTATCACTTTGTCCCATCTTAATGATGACCCTCCTGGATGCTACTGTAAAAAAGAAGTGCACAGGTTGTCAAACAAGGATGTCACATGACTGCAACCTCCAACTTCCTACCAATGTCCCCACTGACTTTGCTTATGGGAAGCCAGCAGGGAAAGTTGTAAATTATAATCACACGACTGTGGGAATGTTGCACCATCCATAAATACAAGGTCCAGTCATAACTACCACAGTCATCATAAGTTCAGACAGTCAGTCAACAAGGGGGCATCTGTATACTGTTTATAAAAGAAACAGAGATCATCACCACCACTCTATTCTAAAGTTTTTAACAAGGACATTCTGTGTCTGGAAAAAAAATATTTACCTACGGATTTGCTCAGCTTCTTCCCTGTTAATTATGGCATCTGTTATTCCTCTTCCACATTTCCGAGGGGTACAGCCTAGATAAAAAAAGAAGACAGTATTTAAATATTTATTGCTGCTGTACCTGTCTTTAAAGGTATTACAGACAACTGTATTGCTTGAACTGATTGATTCACCAGTAGTAAGAATCTGAGAACAACTTATACATTGCTATCATTGTACCTCATATTTCTCATAATAATTATGGTATCTAAAAAAAAGGTCCATTTCAATTTCCTCTGCCATTTTTCTTGGTCTTATGCATTAGCTAAAGAATCTGACATTCTGATTTTCAAAATTATACAAATCATTGTTAAGAAGTCTGTATTTCTTTTTCCCCACAAATGATCCTGCTATAATAATAAACATTGTAACAAATCTAAGTAATGTTTTTTTGCCTAATCCACCAAAAGAATTTTGATTTGTTTAGAAGAATCCGCTGATGCCAATTTTTAATGTCACTTGATGTCACTTGAATGTAAAAGACAGTTATCTCTAACTTTGCAAATTTTTATATTTTTGTTAGGAGCTTCAAGTAGCTAAAGTTAATATTCTATTCTGTTGGTTTTACTTTTTGGACATTTACAAAACTATCACATTTCAAGGAGCACCTGGGGAACAACTATTGATTCAACCTCTTCAAGTGAAATAAACAAATACTGAGTTACAAGCTTGATCTTTCAGAATACATTAGACTCTTGAGACCAAACTTTTCTGTACTTTTAAAGAGTAAACATGACAGGAGAAAACAGATGATCTACCTTCAGTGGACACTTCAATCATTGGTATTTTAAGAAAAAATATATTGAAACGTATACTAGAGAACTCTGCAGCATTTTATGTTCAATTCTAAAAAGATGTTGGGGTACCAGTCTGCAATCTAGGCAGCTTATATAAGATTAAAAACCAAACAGAAAAAGACCAACAAGATAAAACAATAGGAAACAGTAAGGCTGAAATCATAGGCATACATCGAATCTATCTACTCCGGTGGTGCAATGCCTGGGGACGAACCAGGTTTTCAAGGCTTTATGAAAGGACAGAAGGGTTGGGGCCTTCTGAATCATAGGGAGAGCGGGCAGCTGTTCCACACAGCAGGCATTGTGACAGAGAAAACACAATCCCTACTAGATAGTATTGATTCATGGAGGGGATCCAAAGCAAATCCATCCTGTCATATCTTGTCAGACAGGCAGAAAGAATTGAAGACAGTAAATCTAATCTATCATTTGATTCTGTACCATAAAGAGGTTTAGAAGTAGTAACCTGTAATTTGAAGTATTTAGAAGTCTACTGGGAGTAAGTGTGTTTTGCAGACTATGACTACCTATGCTGCCACGTTCTGGATCAGATGTAACTTCCTGATAGCCTCTAAGGGTAGCCCTATGCACAGCACATTACAATAGTCCAAACTGACCAAGGCATAAGTGACCATGAACCGACCAATCCAGGAAGAAGCATAACCAGTACACAAGATGGTTTTATGCAAAAGCCCTTCTCACCATGGCTGCCATCTACTCTTCAAAGTTCCAAGAGACACCAAAAATCTGCACCAGTTCTGTCTGAAGAAATGCAACCCCCCCCCGCCCCAAATAGAGGCCCCCAGGATCCAGAGACGCCTAGAATTCATTGCCACTCAATTTACTTTCTTTTCAAATATGTGCTGCCGATCCAGGCCCCCTTGGCCTCTAGATATTAGTACAAAAAACATAACTTGCATGGTCCTGAGTTGAGATTCATACATGAGTATCATCAGTATATTGGTGATACTTATCCCCATGACAGTAGGTGAGCCCACCTGGCAATGTTATAGACGTTAACTAGGAACAAATAGTACTGTATACAGATCTCTGAGGAATCCTGGACAGAGTTTAGATTTCTCAGAACTAAAGCAGATAAACAAAGCAGCATTACACAAGTTTGGGAAGGAACAGTATTGCAGTAAATTATCAAAGCAATAGATAAATCCTGAAAAAGACTAGAGATAAATTACAGCTCCCAGGATTCTTGGGTACAGTTAGATGTGATCTTGGCAAGCATCAAACTGAATTTTGATATATTTAAGACACTTTGCTGTCAAGTTACAAAGTAGGGAACTCTGTCAAATGCATCTCACAGGTGCCCCCAAGTGGAAACTTGGTAATATGAAAATTGCAACAGAAATGCAAAAAAGGAGCAGCCATTCAAGAACAGACTGAATTGATCCAGCAGAGCAAGGGTCTTCACACTTGGCAAGTTTAAGACTTGTGGACTTCAACTCCCAGAATTCTTGAGCTAACATGACTGGAGGATGAATTCTGGGAGTTGAGGTCCACAAGTCTTAAAGCTGTCAAGTTTGAAGATCCCTGCAGCAGAGTATGATCAAAGTATATTCATTTAAAAAATATGTATTTGAATAGGTTAAAATAAAATGTTTTTTTTTAAATTAAAATACTTCAAAATTAAATTCATAGTATTGAAAATGCAAACCTCTCATTTGAAAGCATGTTAAAACTGTAATTTCACCCTCAAAAACCAATTGTCAGTAAAAATTGGGTCCCAAAAATAAAAAAATGGATCTAAAAATATTATCCCCAAAACTGAGTATGTGCCTAACAAACACAAAAACACAAATGTGAGACATACCGTAAATCCTATGTATTATTTCATTCTATATGAAATCAAGTATCTGCCTCCACAGTTATAAGCACTATTTTTGATTCCAATTTTTAATTCTAATTTCAATTTAGTGATTCTGAAGGTAAAAAAATCACTATTATGAGTAATGAACTGTTAATGAAAACTCATGTTTTTATAGGAGATGAATTTTTGAATCAGATTATATTGGCACAAGCAGGCAACTATAAGAATCATGGGACCTGAATTTTAGAGAGGTATCATATTAAACAAATGAATCCAAAACATAGGTTGTTGTGAAGTTTTAAAATGTACATGCTTATTTTATGGGAAAGTTTCTCATGCACCCATAAAATCCCATCTGACTCCAGAGACTTATCAGAACTGGAAAGTAACATCATAATCAGCATGGTGTAAAACTACTGATATTTGGGATAGATTCAAGTTTGTTTTAAACATTTCCCATTTTATGCCACATCAGCACTGACTGCATCGTTTTCTTTTTCTTCTGCATCCTTTGAATATAGATGTAGTCTGGGAGATTATACTCCTTTAAGGGAATCTCTTGCACTTACATGATTTTTATTATAACTTCTCTCTGCCTGAATATATCTTATGATTCTCCAAAGGGAACACTAAGAGTTCATAGAGAGGTTTCTCCCACGTACTAGAAAAAACAGGCTTTGAACTCCTATTAAAAACCAGAAGAGCCATAGCTTGAATTAGTAACACTGACAACTGATCTTTATTTTTTTTTGTACACATCAAGAAGATCCATATGATGGCACAGCATGGATGTAGTCCATGATTCCATACAATTTTCTGCCATATTTGCAATGTACAATATATACTGTGTAATTTTTTAAAACTTGATTTAATTATATGAATCATACTAGGTGATTTGTCTATGCTGGAGAGAATGCTATATAAGATTCATGAACATCAGTGAATCAGAGTAATGCTTTTGCCTCATTGCAGCATCTATTATAGAAATGATCTGTAATTTAAATAATATTTTGATTGAAATCTGTAAAAAATATAGCGGAACCATGCTTCATGTCACTAGTTTGTACCAACAGATAAGCAATTTAATCTATGTGTTTTATAGAGAGAAATGTATCTAATGATTTGGCTCGGGGTCAATCTCATACCTAAATCCAAAGTACTGGCATTGATCCATGGCTCAACAGCATCATCATAATAAAATTTGTGATTCTTACAGTTCTATTCATGTATGTGTTTTCTTTACTTTGGTTTATGGAAAGCCCATGTAGGCAGTAGCTTTGGACTTTGATGGTACCTAGAAATATTGTCACTGATTTTTAGAAGTCTCTGAACCCGAATATAAATCCTGGACATAAGGTAAGATATTGTCTAGAAATCATGAAAAATTACATGTATCTTATTTTGTAAAAAATATTTTCATGCCACTGCAAAATACTGAATTATAAATAGTCCTTGACTTACAACTATAACTGAGCCTGGTAATTATGGCTATAAATCATGATGGTTGTAAAGTGGATCATCTAGACCTCTTTTAATGACCTTGTTTACACTGGTTGTTAAGCAAAGCTATTATTTGCTATGGTTGGTTTTTGCAATAAACTGGAAGTAAACACTGGTTTCCAGTAAAACTGTCATAAATCACAGTCACATGACCATGGGATGCTGCAAAAGTTGTAAAAGGTTGTTAGAAATAAAGAAAGGAAATAGACTTGGTTTATTGCATCAATGTAAATAGAGAAATGTTATTATTTCCGGTAGCCTCTTAATGGAGTTTTGCTGACATCAGGACTGGAATGCAAGGTTTTAAGGATTTAAGGATAAGAGATGGAATACAGGAAGAAAAGACCATTTGCTGTATTTTAAGAGAAGGTGATAAGTTACTATAATTGTTCATAATTATGATGAATGGATATATGTGTGTGTGTGTGTGTGTGTGTGTGTATCTTTACTATATTATTTTTCTTTTCTATTTTTTTCTTTTAGTTTGAATTAATATTTTATCATTGTAATTATAATTTTTAATAAAATTACTACCATGTTTCTCGCGAAATAAGGCCGGGACTTTTTTTTTTTTTTTGAGCCCCCCCAAAACGGCTAAGACGTCTTTTCAGGGGTGAATTAATTTCTCCCTCCCCCATGCGCCAGCGCCATCTCCAACAACAGCATCTGAGTTGCTCCCGCTTTTCCCTCGTCCCCGTAACAACAGGAAAAAAAAAGATTTTTAAGTACCTGGGAGCACCGCGCGCTGCGTTTTGGTTTAGTCCCGAGCGGCTGGGTGGGCGTGAGAAGAGCCGAGTGAGCGTCTCTGCTGCTGCTACTCTTGGTGCTCCAGCCTCGGGCTCTGCAAGTTTGCAAAAGTCCCGGTGTGCAGCCCATTCCTGCATTCCAAGTGCCCAGGCCGAGCTGCAGCTGTCCCTCTCTCGCCAGCACTGTCTCCAATAACAGCGGCAGCAGCGGCGGGAACCGTGGAAATTATGGAGGTGGCTCCCCAACCAAGAAGCGGCTGAAACACTTCCACGGTTCCCGTTGCTGCTGCCGCTGTTATTGGAGATGACACTGGCGAGAGAGGCACCAGCACCGGCAGGAATCGTGGAAGCTTACGGAGGCCTGAGAAGTGGCTGAAACACTGCCGGACATCCATGCCGACGCCGCCCGTCTGCTGACCCAGGTAAGGGAGGGGTGAGCCCTCCGTGTTCCACCATGGTGTTAGGAGCGGCTGATGGTGAGGCGTAGCTGCCCGCGGGGCACTCCTAATGGCAAGTTCCCCCTGCCTCCCCCCCCCAATTTCACATGTTTTAAACTAGGCCTAAATTTGGGGGAAGGGGTTTAATTTCATTTTATGCCTAGAAAACATGCTGGGTCTTCCTATTGGGGGGGCCTTATTGTTGGAGAAACACGGTATTAAAAAAGCATCAATGCAGGTCATATTATTCAATACCTTCAAACCGTTTATGGCTGTCATAATCCTCTGAGCAGGGTACTTCAATGAATTTGTTTGGGATGCTTTCACCATGATGAGCCAATACTTCTGTAACTCCATCTTCAAGGAACAGGTAGCTCCTACTCAAAAGATAACCCAGCATGGCAGATGAGAGAAGGAAAGCTGCTGTTAACCATTTTCGCCGTGACTCTTTCTGAACATTTTCTTTCACACCACTGAAAACAAAACAAGATATTTTTATTCTCTTCTTTAATACATATTTTCACTTTGGATTTTACAACAAAGTTTTAAAACTTATGTCTGGCCTTCATTATTTTTTCATCATTTTAATTTTAAAATGTTTGTCTTATGATTATAGTACACTATACAGTAGTATCAGCTGATCTGGGAAAATGCTATATTGAAGAGCAGAACATGCATTTTAAAAAGCAATAAATATAATTCACACAATTTGCACTTCTTTAAACACAAAACTAGTGAAGTACACTTCTACTCAATAACATGGGCCCAATGACTGCATCTTTAATACACAGGCCTCATTCACATCAAGTAAGAAACATCATTTTCTGAATATCAGGCTTGGGAAAAATAGCCTTTAAGCTATTAAAATTCCTTATAATTATTCTTAACAAGTTATGGCTTACTAAAAATACATGTTTTCTTGAATATCAAGGGGAACTGAAATACCTGAATTCTACCTCATTTTCTTTAAATTTATTGATTTGTAGTAAGTTGCAGGAAGTATTAGTATAAACTGCTATAGAAAGCTAGAACAGTGGGGTTTGGATTTTGGATTTGCATTGGACAAACCCAGGTTAAAGATTTCACACAAAGAGAATTCACTAGTTGACTTTGGAGACAATTCCGTCTCTCTTAGTCAACCTACCTCAAAGAATTATTGTGAAGACAAAATGTGCTGATACCCCACATAAGATTCCTTGACAGCTTATAGGAAAAGCAGAATACTATCATTATTATACTTAATATTATTTTTATCTAGTTATTCCCCCATGGCTTTTACTATTTATATCGTCACAAGGACTTATAAAGATTAAGTTGCTTACATATAAGCAATTCCAAGATTGCCCCCCCCCCCAAAAAAAAATCCGCTGTAGCTGAGTGAGGAAATAAAGTTAGGGTATTTCTGGCCTAAATCCAGTGTTCTGCTACTACAGTAAGGATACTAGGCAGAGGTCATTAAGCCAATTCATTAGGAAAGAGGAACACCGTGATCCAAAAGAAACATAAAAGTTACAAAAAGATAATACTGGCCAAGTAACACACAAGCATCAAATCTCAAAAGGAAGCTGAAGTTCTTTTAATGAACTTAACAAAGAGCTCTTTATTTATGAGGATACCTATGTCATGAGTGTGACCCATAGTGCACAGCTAAAATATTATAATTTCCTTACTTTTCCTGCAGCATACATATTCTCAATATGGAACCTCATATACATAGTTCTTGACTTACAACAGTTCATTTAGCGACTACTCAAAGTTACAACAGCACTGAAAAAAGTGACTTAGGGCCATTTTTCACACAATCCTTGCAGGATCCCCATGGTCACGTGATCAAAATTCAGACGCTTGATAACTAACACATATGACGATTGCAATGTCACGTTTTGAGACCGTCTGCCAAGCAAAGTCAATGGGGAAGCCAGATTCGCTTAACAACTGTATTACTAACTCATCACCTGCAGTGATTCACTTAGCAACTGTGACAAGAAAGGTAGTAACATGGGGGAAAAAAACTCAATGCCTCACTTAGCAACACAACTTTTGGGCTCAATTTTGGTCATAAGTTAAGGACTACCTGCATAAGGTAGGTTGTCTAGAATCCAGCTATCAATACCTCCTTAAACCAAGGGGAAGGAGAAACCTTTCTTACAAGCAGATTACAACCTGTCCCCTTATTAATAAGAACCTTATTTCAGGAATCCAACTCAGTCCAACAAGGAATTATTAAGAGCTGCCTGATTCTAGATTCATCATGCCGGTCGAAGACCTGAGCTTATACCCCAAACTGACACCCTCTGGAGATGTCTGACTTTACCGCAATCCTCAATCCGGCCCCAAGGACTCTATATCCTGGGTGCATAATATTCTGGGAAAGAGTTATCCACCTCGAGACAGAGCTAGGCTGGCAAAGCGCTGCAGGAGTGAAAGAAGCCGGGCACAGGATGGGAAAGATGAAGTGCAAAGAGCTCCCTTCTTCTCTCACATGCGCAACACCGAACCCTAATAGGCAACTATTAGCAGCCAGTCTCCTAGACACCGCTGGGGATCTTCGTACCTGCTGCAGTGACGACGGTCTTCCGCTCGAGCCGCCGCACCCGCACCGCCGCTCTCCGGAGCCCTTCCACCCGCCCGCCGCTGAGGAGCCATTGTTCCAATGAAGCAGCTCCACCTGGATCTTAGGATGCTGCCTTCGAGGGCCGGGGGGGGGGGGGCGCGGAGGGAGGCATCGACCAATAGGCTTTCACAGCGCCCGACCCGGAAGCTCAGGGAGACGCAATTGATGTCAGAGAACGCAAGCCGATGAGGCATGCTCAATCCAGCCTGGAGCAGCCGAACACAAACCAGGGGAGGTGGAAAGGTGAGCAGTTGCTGGAGGTCCGATGCGGTAAGGTTACGCGGAAGCTGGTGTAGAGTTAAAAAACAAAAAGGAGATCGCAGGATAGGGGGTGGGGCTTGAGCCACGAGCAATATATCTAAGAGGTTGCATTTACTCTGGTTATTTTTCCTGTGCCTTCTGCTGTTTGTACGGACCTTACGAAGGGGTGATTTCAGGACTCCAGTTTGCTCTTGGAGAAGGGCGTGGAGGTTTTGCTAGTTCGAGCTGCGGCTGTCCCAGAATTGAAAGTCACCTGCAATTCTGTAAAATGAATACATATATCCACTTCACGCTGTTACCTTAACATGGATAACGTGTGAAGTCCTTAAGGACAAATGTATTGTTTGAATGTATTATTCCCATTTGTGACCTGCTCTTAATTTTAATAACTTCTAAAGATCCCTAAGTTCTTTTCAGAATGTGGTTATTCTTGTAGGCCTTGTGGGTAGTGTTTTTCTTTTTAAAGGTAAGTTGCCCAGAGTCATTCTGGCATTTGGTGGCTTTTAAATCAAATAAATAAATAAATGTAAATACATTCTAAAGCAGGTGTATGCAGAAAGGGATTTATTAAATAGGGTTTTCCACAATATGTCCCAATAATTTGTCGTGTATTGCATATTATATAACAGCAGTGTATATGATACACTTTGCATGCAGAACATCTCAGATTGGATCCCTGGCATCTCTAGATAGGGCTGAGAGAACAGTAAGCTGCTTCAGTTAACATGTTGCCTTCCAGATATGTTGAGCCTTTTGTTCATGGCCAGGTTCTTGACTGGTTCTCAAAACATTAAGAAGGACCATCTCTAGTTAGTGCTTGAATGGGAGACCATAAAGAAACATTAAGTTTGAGAATTTGAAAACATCGTAGAAGTAGTTCATAGCAAACTAGTTTAATAATGCCACAAAAAATTATATGAATGTGTCTGAAGTCACCAGGATTTTAACTCCAAAGAGACTTTAGGTTGACATGCTGAGCTATCAATGTTCTGTGTATGGCATGAAGCAGTTTCCTGAGTCAAATATCAAATATCCTCTTTTATTGACAGCTGTATATTGTAAAACATCTTGAAGTTTTAGATTTAGCAATATGTCAAATTTTAAAATATTAGTGAAACTGTTTTCCTCATATCTATTTTCTGCTAAATTATTATAAAGTGACTCAGTAACATTTAAACTTTAACAGAATGCTAATACATAAAATTAAGCTATAAGGTAGCAACCTTTACTTGGAGAGAAGACTCTGAATGTGATGTGGCTTTTTTCAAAGAATGCATTTCAGTTGTAATGGAAAATTTATATCATCCTATACTGACCTAAGTGACAAATTTGCTCTTTGAGATGAATGAAGCTTATGGATTGAAGATGAGAAGGAAATAAGAATACAGGTAGTTCTGGACTTATGGCTGCAAGTAAGCCCCAAATTTCTGTCAAAATATCTGTCAAGTGAGTTTTCCCAGTTTATGACTTTTCTTGACACAGTTATTAAGTTAATCAAGTTAAGTTAATCACTGCAGGTGATAAATTAGTAACACAATTGTTAAGTGAATCTTAACATTGACTTTGCTTATCAAAAAGTCTCAAAAGGGGATCACATGATCCTGGGACATTGCAACCATCTTAAAAATGAGTCAGTTGCCAAGTATCTGAATGTGACCTTGGGAATACTACAGTAGTCATAAGGGTGAAAAATGGCCATAAATCATTTTTGTTGAAGCTTTGATATCACTAAATGAACTGTTGTAAGTTGAGGACTACCTGTATATGGGAAAGATTAGGCATATTAAAGAAGGTTGAACTATTTCTTTCAGAAAGGACAGCTTCAAAACTTCAGTCTCTTATGGGAACAAACATCCTTGGAGTGAAGAGTGTTATGTAACTAAATGGCCCTGTAATTTTGAGACAGGGTAATCAGTGTGGTAACACTCTCAAGCTACTAGCATCAGGCTTCTCCCAAACCATTATTGAAAAAAGAATGTTTGCAGGTAGAGAGTCAGAGGCATAAGATATTACAAGGTTTTAAAAAGAAAACAAAAAGCTAGTGATTGTCAACAATAAGACTCAGACCATATATACTGAAAGGTTTAATTTAACATTTCTTTTTCTGACCCATGTTTTAGGGGTGAAGGGATTGAAAGTGTGCTTCAGCTTATATAATAGGAAGGTCACCCTATGGTATTTGCTTTGTAAAAGCCATGAAGAAAATATGAGTGTGGCTTATTTTGACATCATGTCCTCCTGTAAGAATAAAGACTCACAAAAGGTTGTTTTGTGGCAACTTTCTTTAATCTGATTTAATGATGGGGCAAATGAGGCAAGTGGTAATGCTACTGTTCTTTTCCAGTATATCATTTGGTGTACTGCTGACAGCAAAGACAGAAGAAAATATAATGATGGTTTCATCTCCATTTGAATTGCACCTGGTGCACCTGGATCTCAAGGGAGCTCCACCCAGAGTCTCATACCTGGCAGAGGTAACACAGTCTTTATGTGTATAGTTGAGGAATTGGTTTCTAGCTTCACCCAGCTGAAAAAAGTAGTCTTTAATCTATAAATTCTATAATTGCTGAGGAGAATTCAGTAGGAATCTGGTGGCAGATAAATATAATCCATCAGTCAATCAATTACGGTAAAATTCCTAGATCTATTTTGTATAGAGTAGCTGCAGTGTTACTACAGTTCAGTTAACTGTGCAATTAAGAAGAACAATGGCCTGGAAAATAATACTGTAGAAATAATGACTTCTAAAACAGCTATAACTGGTTTTGAAAAGTGACATTAGGAAGAACTCAAGAGTTGTGCTGGATTAGGCTAGCTGTTTTTCTAGTACCACACAAATTTCTCTGGCAGAATAGGAGTATTTCCCAACTGTTTCCTTCAGCAATTTATTGTCTTGAATACTGGTAGTACAGGTAATCCTTGAATTATGATCATAATGAACCCTGCTCATCATGTGTTGTAACTCATGATGGTTATAACTTGAGCCAACCATGCGACTAACCAAATTTTTACAACCTTCTTTGCTGTGGTCATTAAGTGAATGCTGCAGTCATTGTGAACCAATAGTTTGCTATGGACGTGCTTTTGCCAAAAACCTGAAGTAAATGTCAGTTTTCTGCAAAAATGTTATAAAACATGGTATGTGACTACAGGACATTGTAAATGGCTATAAATGTATTCCAGTTGCTGAACTCTTGAAGTCCAGTGAGGTAATACGGTGGGATGACTGTCAGAACTAGTTTATAAGTAACCTCCAGAGAGATCTGTCATAACTAGTGAACAGTCACTAAGCAAATGGTCATAAATCAAGGACTGCCTGTATTATGTAACCAACATGACTATTAGCCATTATGTTCCATGAATTTATCTAATCCCTCCCATTTTGGGACGATGTTTTCCAACCATCATCTTTCCATTGCAAGGTTAAATACATGCATTGTGTTGTTCCTAGTAGTCCTAAATCTCCCACATTCATTTGAAATGTGTGAACCTGGGTTCTAGCATTTTGAAAGAAGAAAGCTGCGTCTTCCCCATTTTTGTACTGTGTGCTTAATGTTGATAGTTTCTCTGTAAGGAAGGAGAACATCAAGGAAGATTCTGCTCTATACTTGCTTTTTAAAGAGATACTTAATTTTTAAAGAGGTAAAAAAAGAAGACAGCTAAAACATGCTATCTCACAAGACCTAAGGTTAGTGATCAATACACCTGGGAGGCGTTTTCTAAAGTCACTGTTATCTTATAAAAGTAAATGTAGCAAATCACCACTGACTAGAGATTTGAGATGTTTTATGCAACCAACAGATCTTCCCATTGTTCCATGTCCTGGGTGCAAATGGTATTCTCCTTGAATATGAGGATATGTACCCTTATGATGGAGAACTGAAGCCACTCCAAGCAAATGATGCATACAGGTATGTTAGTCAGCCGGTCCTCTTAGATGACATAGTCTCTGGTTCTCTTGTCTCACTGAAATCCCAGGTTTTATAGAGCTGTACCAAGCAATTGGAACTGATGTAAATTTACTACTGCGAGGCAAAATATTTTTTTGAATATCCCTCAAAATCAACCTCATTCAGTACTTATTTCTTCTATTTGCTCTGTACTGCATAGTAGTTTAGAATCTAGAGTATCAAATATTTAGAAACTTTGTTTAAATTTCCTGCAGGTATGGATACGTAAAATAGATGCAATTGATCCACTATGCAAAGGAAACACATCCATGCAAGATGGATTTCTAAACAAAACAAAAAAAACCCTGGCATTAAATGCATAATTTATTAATGAATGCCTCTCTTTTTCTAGTCCCTCTGAGGTTAAAGAGATTTTAAAGCTGGCAAAGTCACATGATTTAGAAGTTATCCCTTTAATACAAACATTTGGACACATGGAGGTAAGTGCCAGGTCCTAGTTATGGACATTTCCTCACTGTTTATTTTATTTTTTGTAATTCTGAGTTGTTTTATTGTTTATAAACATTTATTTAAACAGAGCTGCATTTTTAGCTGTGCAGTTTTCTGGATTACTGTACTATATTTGCTTTTGGTTTATGGATTACTGCCTCTGTTTCTTACTTCTCCTGCAGTTTGTTCTGAAGCACAAAGAATTCTGCCATCTCCGGGAAGTGGCAATGTTCCCCAACACAGTGAACCCCCATAAAGAGGATTCCTTGAAATTGGTTATTGCAATGATAGAGCAAGTAATGGCACTACATGACAATCTCCGATGGTTTCACATTGGTTGTGATGAGGTAATGTTTGGAAACATGGGCCTGAATTTGATCAGGGAAGACACAGCCATTTAGCAGTGATCATAGCCGATTGGCACATCTTTATGTTTCCTTGTGGGTTTTTTTTCCTGTTAAATTGTTTATTTGTTAAACTTATTTGTCACCTATCTTGCCCTGAGGCTACTCGAGGCTATTTTGATGTTTCTCTTCATGCCAACTTCCATGGGATCATCCTGATCAGCTTTTGTTATGCATCAAGAACTTATACTTACATATCTTCTTTTTTAGCCACTTGTCATTTACTTTTCTGTTAGTTTGCTTGTACCCTGGTGTAAGGAAGATGAAGAAATCTCCTTGCAAGACAAGGATGAAAACACAAAAAACATATGTTTCAGATAGCTGCTTTCCTGAAACAAAATATCTGGGTTTCAGTTACTTTAGTCCACACAAAACAAAAGCTGCTTTGCTCCAGATACTAACTAAAAAGTATTTTTCTAAGCACAAATGGGGGTGGGGTGATGGAAAAGTCCAGTAGCAACAGCTCAAGGAAAGCAGGGAAAGCATAGGCTGGTGGAATAGGCCAAATTGGGACATTGGCAGCAGAGGTTTCTGAGAGGAAAAAGGAAAGGGGAGTCAGTACAAAGATGGACAAGCAGGTCATCACAAAGTCCATGCAGAGAGATGGGACAGCACGCACTAACATTGTTCTAGTCACCCTATAAAATGACATAATTCCACTGGGTTTTGTTTTAGTCAACACCCAGAGTAATTTCATGGTTTATTTCCACCAAACTAGGGCTGATTCAAAATTGATGGACAGAGCTTTTGAATATGATGATTTGTTTCATATTTGGAAGAAAATGTATTTTCCATTGTGTTTACACCTATACTTAGATTAATAATAACAATTTTGCCTATCCATCCTTGCTACTATCCTGCAGTTGTCTGATATCATGAGATATTTTCTTACAAACAACACAGTATTATTTAACTTCACTACTTTGTAAATATTGGGGTACAATTAATAATGCCTGCAGGATTTTGTCAGGTTTCTCAGTGAGGGAAATCACAGACCTCTAAGCACTTAAAAGTTGAGCCTGACTTCTCCCTATGACATGGCTAAAGATTCCCAGATGCGGCTTTGCTAAATTAGAATATTTATTTCTAACAAGAATGAAGCCACAGAGTGGTTGATTGCCTGCTGTTAGTGCAAAGTAGTACAATAATTTTATACCTGGGTGTGTGTATTAAAACCAGATTTCTTTTGTTTTCTGCCTTGCCCACATCAATTTTCCAGATTTAGAATTTTGGGTTTTGCTGGTTTTCACATTTATTAGTCCATTTTAACATAACCTGACAGAAGGGACAGCAGTAATTTATGAAATTTTCCCTTCTTTCTTTTCATGGTAAAGATAATCATTCTGAATGCAAAAAGCAGCTCTTTGATCATTTGGGAAAACCTATTTCCAAATGACATAGCAATATAGAAGGTATCCTAAAGAAAAATAAAAAGTTTTATTTTATATCTTCAGGTGTATTACCTTGGTGAAGGGGAAGAATCCAAGGAATGGCTTCAGCAAGAAGAAAATACTATTGAAAAATTGTGCCTAGCCCACATGAAAGCAGTGGCCAGTCACATAGTCTCAACCCATCCCACAGTGAAACCAATTGTGTGGGATGACATGCTGAGGAGAACAAGCAAAGAAACTCTGAGAGGTAGGTAGTCAATTCAGGAGAAATCCAGCTGTAGTTTTGGAATATTGGAGCAAACTCAATAATTTCTGAGAAGTCACTTTTCATCAGTCACGTTTGCACTAAATAATAAGCCATTAGGCTTGCTTAATGTGAAAGTGCCTGCTGACCAGAGTAGCCTGACTACCAGTTCTCCTACCTTTGTTTGGGGTCACAAACATGCATCCTACATTTGGGTAAGGGTAGCTGTTTAGAAACCTACATCATGACATTTCATAATTGTATTGCTTGAAATTGAAAACAAGAGCCAGTGGACACACAAATATCAACCAAACTTTATTGTTTGCACTGTATTGGGAATATATATAAACATTATAATTCCATAATTTCTCAAGGATTTTGAGGTACTTTTGCAAAAGAAAGATCAATTATAATAATTATAAAAGATATTTTCCTTTCTTTCATAGTGGAGATAGTTATTCTAAATGCATAATGAAGCTCTTTGATCATTTGGAAAAGCCTTTTTTCATTTTTCATAAAAAGATATCTTTCTTCAGTAACTATTTCTGCCAACTATTTTGGAATCTAAACATCATTAAAAAGTAAGCACTTGAAGCTAATATTTTTTGTAAAGATGGATAAAGTCAAATTGCTATGCTGTTTGAAGTGAGGTTCTTTTGGAAACATTAAAGAAACCTACATATAAAAATACATAATTAAGGCATTTAAGCCTATAATTATTATAATCAGCACTGACAAGGATGTCTATTGTGAACAGGGAAACGGTTTAAAAATAAAAATCCTAAAACTATATAAACACTTCAAATAATAGAAATTATTTCAAAATATAGAAATACCTCAGTGAAATGAATTAGAATAGTACTAAAGATACTGTTGAATTAGAGGAAAATAAAGTTCTGATTCAATACTGAACTGAGAGATTGCCGGAGGATTATATCTTCTTCAGTCTTGCCCTCACAAACCATATTTGGCATTGGGATCAAGAATTTGACATATACCTCCACATTTTCCATAATTATTCAGAACTGGTTTAAAATTAAAATAATTTGAAACAGAAAGGAAACACATTGTTAAATCATCACATCTTCTATTTCATGAGTGAATGCTAAAATCACTTGTTTCACTAACCTGTATTCCTGGCTTCATTAATCCATTCCGAGAAAGGCAGGAACTTTCTTTCCAGAATCTTAGCCATTGTTCTCAAAATTACAGAAATAAGAATCGTTCACACAAAATTGAGAACAAACATCACAAAAGTTTGATCTTCACAATTATTAACATTTCTGCTTCTTTCCAGATTCTGGGTTAGCACAACTGATAGAGCTGATGATTTGGGATTATTCTCCTGATCTTGATGTGGAGAGTAAAGGTTTGTACTTGGATGTTTTCACTTGAAAAAATATAACTAAAATACACAGTCCTGATGATCAGAGTAAATATAGCTTCCCCAAGCCCTGCATTCAGCAGCTGGTATGTTACGCTAAAATTGGGATTAAATCTCCATTTTGGCAGGAAGGTCACTGGATGTTGCCAGAATAAACACAGAGTATGCTTGTTTAGCAACAGTCCCCTGGTGCTCCAGTTTTTAACAATAACCAGCAATGGCCTGATTGGGTATAGAGACACTAAACATAAATGGAAAAAAAGCTTATCTGCTCTTTATTCCCTTTGTGCTTCTGACTCACAGAGAAACATACACACAGCATAGAATTAAACCAAGGTGGAAGCAGCAGAAATATTGCTACAGAAACAACCCATTTGCTGGTGTTTCTACCCTTTGTGCTATTTTCCCAAAAGATTAATGGCTTCTAATTATAAGCTAGCTATTTATTTGGTTGGGATAAAATATGGATCAAGTCATGATTATAGATTTTGATTAAGGTCTGACAGTCTGAATTTGCACAATGTGCTAAATCAGTGGACTGTATGACTTAGCATGTATGAACCACATCCATTCTATTATCTTAACAAAACTCACAATTATTCCCATGGGCAAGATATATAAGCCAGAAATGAAAGCTTATTTCATTTGTTGACATGTTAAGGTAAAGCAATGATTAGCTCTTTACTTCTAGGTCTTTTTTACAGTTTTATTTCAACGGGTACAATTTGTTCAATTATTCTTAAAAAGATATTGGAAAGGGAAAGTAAGCATGTTTTAATAATAAGCCTATCTGCAGAGAAAAAATATCTTTGAGGGAAAGCCTCACTCATTTAAAAAGTTTTAAAAGTATTACCTAGGTGAAATAATAAAAGTAATAATAAAAATAATAATTAATACTGGGAGGTGTTTTTTTTTTAAAGAGGTTATTAGGCAAATTCAGATCTTATATTTTAACTGAGTTTATCTGCTCTGTGAAGAGCCATAGGATCACTATATTTTAATATTTTATTACTAATCTGAAATTAGGTTTGTACTTATTGCAAAGCAGCTGTAAGAACAGGGCCTTAACATCCCAAATTTTTCATAATTTTTCCCATAAATTTCCCCTTGCCTTTTAATAGTTCATTCAACCCATATCATTGCTGTCTCCTTTTTATGCAGCCAGTCTCATTGAAAAGTACCAGAAGTGTAACTTCTCAAAATTCTGGTTTGCTAGTGCCTTTAAAGGAGCCACTGGAGTAAACCAGTGCTTGACACTCATTGGACATCATCTTAAAAACCACAAACAATGGCTAAAAGTAGCTGAGAGCTGTCCTGCTGGTATCGTAAGAGGGATCACTCTGACTGGCTGGCAAAGGTAACTACATGGTATACAGATCAGTAGATATTATAGCATTATTAGTAAATTGAAAATTTGAAGAGCACTCTTAAAATTGGTTTTGGCCATTTTTTTCATACTAAATCATACATAATCATGCAGTCCTAGCTTTAAAAAAACAGCTTTAAATTACTGATTATGTTGGGACTATCACTTGAGACAAAATTTCCACTTGCTCCATTAAATTTAATGATTGTCTCAACTGAGTCCAAACATCTTTGGCATCTTCTATTTGTATCATTTTCACAACTATCCTTAGTCCCAAATTTCCTTAGGCCTGAGATTTCCTTTCATATTGCATCTCCTAATAATTGTATTACATAAAGGTGCTTAGACATACTGGAAAAGCAGATTCAGACGTGTTATGTATTATTTGTGTCAGCTGAAGAGGTAGTGTTTTCCTAAAGTTCTTGCAATCTGAGATGCTACTGCTATACTGCCTCACTAGACCTGCATTTTCTTCTTTAGGTATGATCACTTCTCCGTTTTGTGTGAACTTCTGCCTGTGGGAATTCCATCCTTAGCCATATGTCTCCAAGCATTAAAAAATGGTACAGTATGGTTCTTTCTTCAATCAGTTAAACTACATGCTTAGGATCTATCAACTCTTTGAGGTAATCCAAACAGGAATTCACAACCATGAGTACTAACACTAACTTCATTGTAACATTATAGTAACAGAATCTTGCAAGTCTAATAACACTTCTCCTTTTTCCACCTTTATTTTCAAGAGAACTAGGAAGAGTTCCTTCTGAGAAAGTTTCTTCACCCCCATTTCCTCTGTGTTCTTCCTGTCTCCCAAAGTTATTCTCACAGCCATTTAACAGCCTCACAATAGAAACACATATATACAAAATTATTTCATTTTATTACAAGTTTAATAAAATACACTCAATTTTTTTTAAAAAATACCCCAATGAACTATAAAAAATACAAAAATAAGCAAAAATAAAAAACACAATAAACAACAAAAATTATGAACAATGTAGGCATACCCTCTGTGTATCATGTTTTAAACAATATCAACATTTCAAATAAAAAACCTTGAAAAATGTCTTGAAATCTGTACCAAAGAAAACTTTACTAGTGGAATGCCATTTCAAAAATAGATACATTACACATCTTGACTCCAGTTTTACTATTCAGAATAGTATTACTTTTCTAATGTCTCAAAACAATGCTCCTAACAATTTCCCATGCCTGATAACCAAATTTCCTAAAAACAATAAACTTCCACATTTTTGGAATGATAATATGTATTAAAATATTGTTCTAGAAAGTTCCAATAATTCACAAGATTAAATCATACCAGCATTGCAAGGAAACTTTGGGATTACTAATACCAACAATTCTGCATTCTTTTGAAATACCCTTTTCTCTTCTATTTTAACCCATACTTTTTAGGTTTGTAACTTATAATAGGCAACTGTGTTCTTTCACTACATTTAGTACTTTATGTGACTAATTATTTTATCAATATGTGAGATAACAGCCTGGAATTTGAGGCAGTGATAAAGTGGTTTGTAACTCTAAGGAAATAATGCTCTTAAATATTTGAGCCCTATCTGAGATATTCCCTGTATGGCATCAAATAGAAAAGATTATCAGATAATTTTAAGCTATTTATATATTTATTTAGAACTTCAGAGACAGATCTAATCTGAAGGATATTACAGATCCCAAATGTTAAAGTGTTTATAGGATCAACATCTTTTCAGCAACAGGAGAGGGATGGGCCAGGTGTATCCAGAGGACTGATAGTCACATGTCCAACTGAGGAACATCTGAACAGGACCTTTACTGCAATTATCACCAATATGAAATGAGGTAGCAGGAGCTTGTTTGAACACTAATGAGACATTTTTGGTATTCCTCAATTTTCCATTACCGTAGTAATTGCTGTACAAGATAACTACCCAATTTTGTTTCCTTTTCCAAATTTTATGCTTTAAAAAGCTCTTCTTTGGATCTTTAAGGTGGCTATTCAGAAAAAGTGAGAGAAGATGTAGAAAAATTACTAGGGCTCTCCCATTTGGAAATTGACAGCTTCATGAGGTAAAAGTCCCAAGTTTTTTATTATTATTGAATTATTACAAATTAAATCTACTCTTACTCATCTTCAAATAAGGATTTCGGAGTGGAACATTTTAGAGAACTACAACATTTTGTTTTGCCTTAAAATTATGCCAAAATCCCCTACCGTGGCATTTCTGGAACAGTTCAACTCTCTGGAAATAATCCTCCAAAAGCAGAAGTGGTTTGAGATATCACAACTCATAAAACTGTTGAACCACACCCAGAATTGCATGGTTTGAGGAGGAGATTTCTCTGAAACATTCCATTCTCAAGTTACTGAGTTTTACACATTCTTTCTCCTAAATTAGAAGTAAGCAAAGCTGCATAATACATTTTTTAAATTACGTGGAAGGGATTTCCAAGGATAATAACATCTTGGAGTGATACTGAGGGTATTGAAAAAAGAGGTATAGGACCACAAGTTGGCATCCTTGTCTTAAATATTTAGCAATCCAATCAAGGTTAATTAAATTACAGGTAGTCTTTGGGTTATGTCAATTGTTCAGTGACCATTCAAAGATATAACGGTGCTAACAAATGGTATTGGGACCTTGTAATTTTGACCATTGCAGCATCCCCACGGTCATTTGAGTGTGATCTGGGCACTTAGCAATTGGCTCAAATTTCCATTGTTGTATCCATGATCACGTGATCACAATGTGTGACCTTTCCTACTGACTTTCCATGTCAGTGAAGAAGCCAGTAGGAAGACAAAGATATGTGCATTCCATTTCTGAAGCTTTGATAAAATCTGTTCATTGTCATTGGATAGAAAACTGCCATCCATTTTTGCTTTAACAACTCATTTAGCACTCATTCATTCTTCCTCTAAGGATATACTAATGACATCTTATTATCAGAGACATAAGCAAATATGGCAAGGACATCTGTACCAAGTGAGGTTTTTGCTACTGAAGTTCATAATTGTAGGAAGTCAATAACTATATATGTTTTCCTTCTATAAAGATTGATCTTTCTACTGATTAGAGAAGACCAAGGTTCATCCTCTTCCATCCTCTTAATTTAATAGATACCTGAATAAGGCTCAGGCATCATCCAAAAAGGCCTAAATGTATTTTCAGGAAATTCATTCTTTCCCAATATATATATTTTTTAAATTCTCCTTTTAAAAAGGCTGCCCAGTGATTCACAATCAAATGAACAATATAATATCTAATCACTTAACAATGAATAACATGTTTTATTCTAGCCACTTATTATGAAAGCTGACAGCTTTTTTTTTTTTTTGAACAGTGACATCACAGGGACTTTCCCTGGAAATGAAATTCTCTCACTTGTGAGTCAAATTGCATTTTACCTCAAATCTTCAATAGACGAACTTTTGGAAAATAACAGGTGAGAAATTATACCCCCCCCCCCAAGTTGATTCTTATATATTCGTATATATTGTTATCTGTATAAAATATAGTATCATTTTCTTGTGTATTAAATCACCCACCAATTACATCATGGTTATATGGCATTTAAAGAGTATCAATATTGTGTTAAATGGTCCTGAATAATGCCTTCTAAATTTTAAATAGAATAAATGGACTTATGTGATTTTTCTCAACTCATTGTTTTTTTGTTCATATCAGTCTGAATTTTTAGATATGTTACAGGTTGGTTTAGTCCCTATCACAGAAAAAGAAAGAAGATCCATCCCATAATGATTCATCACTTTCAGCCAGATGCCATAAGGTAATTCAAAATGTGTGATCTCATGCAAAGTCTGCATTTTTAAAACTAGTTTGGGACAAGTGGCTATGTTCAAACCCATCAATACATGCAGTCCCATGCTGAGATTTAAGTGATGTTTTTTATGGATTCAATCCAGTTTCAATCAGGTTTGGCGGCATCATTAATGCAACATGTATTATTAGTTATAACGAATATATCTCATTGATTTTAGTGCCCTAGCTCAGATATAGTTATGTATGTTATTGTAAATTTTGGTCAGCTGACATAGTCGATAACAATCAAATTCAGAAATAGCAAAATATTTCCCTTATTACCTTATTAATAAAAGTAAATTATTCACTGATTCACTCATATATGGCTGTATGTGTATGTATCAAATAAATAACACACTTAAAGACAGAGAGATGAATAAAAACAAATACATCTATTTTTGAACTTCCTTGAACTATATGACAGCTGGAAATTTAAACTGCCAACTTGAAAGGCTTAAGAAAAGAATGTTGACAAAGTGCTGGTCCTTCATGGGACATGAAAGGTAAATTCGGCTAGGCAGAGATGTTAATATCTTCTCCTATGTGCATATTCTTTGTAGCACAAGGTATTTTATTCAACATATGGCATCATTTTTTTTTCTTAGGCTTCTGACCAAATGGACTGTTCTAACAGAAGAATTGCAAACAGCCATGAAAAAGATTTTCTACACTACTGCTGTAGAAGAATGGATAGAAGAAAATGTCCAACCAAGCCTTCAAAGACTTCAAGGAACAGTAGATGATCTGAACTGTGCAGTACATGAACTGTCTTAGCATTTTGATATAAGACTTTGTTCATTGGAAACTCAACTTTCAGCTAGAATCGAGCAAATAAATAATAGGGTATGTCCAGATGAATTTTAATAAGCTTGGCATTATGATGAAAGTCTGAGGTTATAAAAGATACGAGTCTTCTTTCTATTATGCTTCTACACAGTGTAAAGCTATATACATAGTGTAAAATTTCCAAATTTAAAAATCATGCAAATACTTCATATTTTAAGTAAATCTTATTAGTATGCTTAGAATATTTCCCCTGAAGTGTGAGAAAAGTTAAGTATAATTTTTCTCTAAGTTCTACCATCTTCTAATTAAACTGGTGGACATTCAGGATATAGCAAACGGACTATTTCATGCAATCAAGAATTTTAAAGAATTCATAAAAAAAAGTGAGGATTAACATACAGACAACTTAAAAATGGGCTTGTACGAATTAACGGAGGACTTTACATGGGATTGTAATGTGTGAGAAAGAGCACATAAAAATAATATCTTTGATTTAACTAAGTCTGTTTATACATTGGTAAGTAATTGTGCATCTGTTAGTTTCTTGAAGCTGTGCATTTGAACATTTAGTGATTTCAGCTACTATAAAGCACCAACTGTTCCTTTGCCAGATATTTAATACAGGGAAAATATGCAATTTTGTTAAAGCAACTCTTTACTTTTAACTTCAAACAGGCTCCTTTCTATTTTAAGTATTAAGGTCATCCAGGTAAGAACTTTAACTAAATAGCATTTTTCAGTAAATCAAACTGCCTGGCTGAGATTAGTTTATAACCCAGATGTTTATAAATAAATGTTGAACTTCGACTTTTTTCAGAACTATCTAAAAGAAGAGTGCCTGTCTTATCCTAGTCAGAGATATCAATCACATTTCCAAGATGTTCTCAGATTGCTTCCAGCAAAATATCTTAATATTGACCCTAAATAACCATCTGTAATGAGTTGAGATGAGCAATGAATATTAGGTTCCACGTACCAGAACTGGTGACAGCCTCATGCCTAAATTTCCTTGTGCAGCTCACATTCTCTGACCATCTCAAAGACACAAGTCTGTTAGATTCAATTTGATACAGAATCATTTCTTATTTTAATGTTCCAATTTTAATCTCATTTAGATGGATATTTTTTCTATTGTATCAATTTCAGTGAATTATTTTTTTAAATGCACACATTTGTAGATACAAATCTATTGCTTAATTATGCAAGAAAAAAACTTTTAATTTCTAACGTCCTATCACCAAGAAACAAGTATTTATAGAATGGAATTTGTAATGTTTCCTAAGCCATTGTTATTTTTTTTTTTTTAAAGCAAGTTGTTTTAAAAAGGAAGCATTAAAATGTATATACTAGAGTATTTGAATACATGACAAGAAATATTAATACTGAGTATGAAACAGCGCAATAATTTTTAAATTATACAACTGAAAAACCACTTTATAAAGCACATCCACTTTCCAATGAACATCTTAACACTTTTCAAATAACCCGACATATCTGAACAAAAATATCTTTTTGACAATTATCATTCAACAAGATTCTATTCTAAGACACTTAGAAAATGACTAAATTTTATTGAAATTTAAAACAATCACAAGGATTGCAGAAGGAGAAAGAAATAGGCTCAAGACTTATCAGGTATTAGGTAATCATCCAATTATGTCCAAATGGTATTTCCATCTGAAAATCTTTCAGTTAAAAGGTTCATTGATCTAGATCACGGGTGTCAAACTCACCAACGTCACATTGCCATCACGTGATGTTTTTCCCATTCACGGAGCTGGGGTGGGCGTGGCCTGCATTTGATGCATCCAGCCCACAGGCCACCAGTTTAACACCCCTGGTCTAGACACTTTAAAATACGGAAGACTTTTAAACTCCTTTCTGATAGTTGCAAATCTCTGTGCTTAACATTATACACAGGAAGTTAACAATTAAAAAGTTGTTTTTAGAACTTAAGAATATAACAGATTCAAGTTTTCCACCATTCAGAGAATTTTTGGTTTCCACGTATCAAGAGTTCATGTAACTATTTGTCCTTTGCTTGATCTTCATCACTAACATCTGTTCCACTACTCGTTTCAAGGCCTTCATCAATCTGTAACTCGTTCAGTTCAAGGAAAAGAATAATGAGGTTGGCCATAGCCTCAACATCACTGAGGAAGAAAAAAAGTAATAGGCAAGAATGAATGAATCCAATGCCTGCTTCAGCTGGTCATGAAAGTATGAAACTCTGTGCATCCATCTACTAAAGGCAAAATGTTTACTAAAATGTATAACAAAATCTTGGGCCTTTATTATTCCCATGTCTGTCTGAAAGAATATCACAGGGTTTTAATGTTAACTTCTATTTTCAAAATGACTTCTGTTTCTATTTTCAAAATGACTTATATCACAAAATTATTTAAACAAAATAAATTATGGGTTTCAGATGCCAATTATCTTCCTGATATATAATTAAGAAGTATTACATTAATTTACCTGAAACACTATGCCTTTCCTGCTAACCAACTGATCTAATGGCTAACTAGCAGGAAACAAGAGACATCAAATATGTGGGAAAATTGTTAAAACACTTTAAAAAATGTGTAGCTTTATTTCTTCTGAAAATGTATATAACATTTTTTAAAAGTGCCTAAAATCAGCTACATGTTCTATAGCAGACATAATTAAAAACCTAAACTCATTTTAACTGGAGAACTGAAAATATTAATGACACATTTCTGACATCTACACTTAAAAAATTCAAAATTAAATATACTTAAATTCATTTTGGAATAGGTTGCAGTCATGAAGAGGCCATAACTTTAAATGAGCTGTGGTGGTGCTATGATTAGAATGCAGTACTGCAGGCTAACTCACTGCTTACTACTCCAGGAGTTGGATCCTTACCAGCTCAAGGTTGACTCAGCCTTCCATCCTTCTGAGGTCAGTAAAATGAGGGCCCAGATTGTTGGGGTCAACAGGCTGAATCTAAACCTCTTAGAGAGGGCTGAAAAGCACTGTGAAGTGGGATATATATATATAACTGCTATTGCAATAACTTTATATCTTTAACCGGAAAATGTAAGCTAATGCACAACTGAAGAATTTGAAAAGAACAATAGTAACAAAAGGACAATTGGATTGTTGAAAATGTGATTGCCAATCTTAGGTTAAATGATACCTAACATATTACAATTACCGTATTATTTGGAGTATAAGACGCTCTGAAGTATAAGAGGCATCTAGCTTTTGGGGAGGAAAACAAGAAAAAAAAATCTGCCTCTGCCTTCCAGCAATTTGCCTCTTGTAGCAAACAGTAAACAACCTGTTTCAGTTTCAGCAAGCCTGATTAGCCCAAGCAGCTGATTGTCAGTTGGATCAGCTCCCGACGATCAGCTGTTTTAGGTTGCAGGGATTGCAATAATCTATTGCCACCTCAGCGCAACCCATTTTTGGCCTCCACATCCCATTTTCTACCCTCTGCACACCTTGATTTCCACCCCTTCTGGGTGGCGGGTATCAGAATGGGCAGAAAATAGGTTGCGCAGAGGCCAAAAATGGGGCACTCAGAGGCAGCAATAGGCAATGGGCAAAGTCTGCAGCCTGAAACAGTTGACTGACTGGAAGCCGATCCAATCGACAATCAGCTGCTTATGCTAATCAGGCTGTGCTGAAACTGAAACAGGCTGTTTGCTGCAAGGAGGCAAATTGCTGGGAGGCAAAGGCCAAAGGGTGGGAGTGGCAGTTGGGCGGGGCTTCAGCAACATTCACTGTTTAAGAAGCAGAGATATTTCCACCCACTTTTGGGGGTGGAAAAAGTGTGTCTTATACTCCCAAAAATATGGTAATCACAAAGGACACAGTTCATACATACCTTCTGCAGCCCATCACTGCATTCTGTGTGAGAGGGTGTGAAAATCCAGTACCAAATCGCAGTACAATTAGGTGCCCCTTCCCAAAGTAACGAACCTTTAGTTCTTCTACATTCACAGCTTGTATTTCATCCAATGGAACAACCACTATTTGCAAGGAGCAAACACCGAATTGTTAGTAAAATAATATCAAGCAATACTACGTACAAATCAAAAAAGTAGCAAAAACTATCTGGATCTCCTTGCATGCCCTCAATTGCCTCCCATTAATTTTAGGGTCAACAGAGCTAAGAAACATTGACCCTAGATAGCAGACTTTCTGAATTCTTCTTTAGAAAATACGAGCATAAACTCTTTTTTCCTTTCTGCAACTTAGGTTTCTCCTCCCAGCACTTTTGAATGATGATTTGTACATTTCAGGGCAAGTTCAGTTCATCATTCATGTAGTGAAAATCTTTTTAAAGCAATAACACAGTCCAAGAATCTCTCAAACCCTAACCATAAATTTAGTTTGTCTAGTGGGAAGTATGGTAGCTATGTGGTTAGGAGGTTAGCAAGCCCACATTCATCAGAGTGCTTCTGTGTGAAGGGGTGAGCTCCCATCATTCACTCCAGCTCCCGCTGACCTAGCAGTTGAAGACATGCAATTGCAAGTAGCTAGGTACCATTTTGGTGGGCACATTAATGGGACATGAAAGGAGCCTCTATCGGGGTATTCCCCAGGCAATAGTGATGCTACCAGCTAATCCTTTCAACTAGGAAGTGCCTTGGTGCTTTCAACATGAACGCAGGTAAGTTTCTGTAGTTGCCCTTTCATAACAGAATTATTACTAGCTTACAGTGATTACATTTTGATAATTTTTATTTGGGAAACATGAGTGTCTTCAAAGTCCTGTAATAAATCAATCTACACAATTGCATTGTAAAATTGTACTGCTTTCTTGTGCACAGATTAATGGAATATGAAGCAAATATGGTCTTAGTAGCTATAAGCAAACTCTTAGTGAAAAACAGAGGAGTTTACTTGTCTATTGTCCAACCATTCTGGTATTCTTGCAATCACAGCATAAAATAAAGATTGTTTCAGGTAGAGTTGAACTAAGGGTGCTTAAAAGGATAGTGCCTTCTTCTAGGATGTTTCTTCTACATTCTTATCTAGCTGATAACTGTAAGGTTTCCTGGGATCCCCTTTGAAGTACTAATTTGATCGAATTCTGCTAAAAAATGCCACATCACATAAGGATAAAATGAACAGTAGTTGGAAAACTCTAACTCTGAAGTCACAGCAACCATTGGAAACAAACAACCTACTAGTTATTATGAAAATGAAAATATTTAATCTCAAACCAAAGACAATATTGAACAGAAATTTGTAACAACATGGATTTGGCCTCTGCAGGATTCTGAAGAAATTATCGTTTTCTTCCAGTTTTTGCAGAGGCAAAATTTTAACCTGCCTAAGCAAACTGGTTAAAGAATCACAGTTATGAGCACAGCTAAATATACTTTACTACAATATGTACATATGTCAAGATGAAGTAAATATCTTGTTTTTGTACAGCATGCATCATAATAAGAAACACTTGTTGCTTTACCTTGTTCATGGCCAGCTCTTGAAAAGGTCAACAACTTTTTGTAAAGGCTGAATGATTTTAAGTAAACCTTTCCTGAATCTTTCTCAAATATAGCTTCCTGTGTGAAATAAATGAATAAATCACCTTATGAAGCCATTTTTGGATGAGAGGAAAATAATCACAGTTGTCAGACAAGTATAAACACTTTTTTCGGTAACAATGTCAATAATTAAAATAGTCAATATAACATATTACTCTAAACCTCTGGATCATGTAAATAAACTTAGTCTCAAACTTTCCTTAAAAAGTAAAATCAACAGAATCTGATATTTCCCAACTCTTTATCTCTCAGTTTCAGAAAAATATTAAAAGTCTGAATCTCAAACTGGATTGTTCCAATTTCTTCCTTGTTTTAATTATGAAACAATCCTTTCTAATTTGTTGAATCACTTCCAGAGCAACTGAAATGCCTTTTTCCAAACCAGAAGTGCTTTCTTGATCAAACAAGTTTGAGAGCAATCTAATCTGGATGCAACACATTCCATTATTGAATGTTTTTTTTCCCCAATTTACTCTGGCCAACAAAACTAACTTTTTTTGTAAGACATTACAGTACTTACTTCCCACTCATCCAGGTTTTGTGCAGCTACAAAAAGACAGCCAACAAGATAAAAGAGTTTCCATCCCAGGCTATCTGAAGAGCAAAATAATATTTCAAATTATGAATACATTTCTAATTTACACTTTGTTTAAATTATTTGTTGGCATTAAAATGTGGCTGAAGATAAAAAATAAATAACAATCACAGCAAAACTAAAAGGAGAATGAATAATTTAAGACCAGCTAGTGTGAAAATCAATTACAAATGCTTTCAGCAGCTCACTAAATGTTAATACGAAAATGATAGAAGCTGATACATTCCAACTGGTAATAATGTTTAAAACTGGCAATATACAGAGCTAAAACAATCGAGAAATTGTTGGGCAGAGCCCATTGAAGCAAATACCATAAGTTGCCTTGTAAGAGAGAAGAGGAAGACAAAGACACCATCAACACTTGCTCTTACAATAACAAAAAATTGGGCATTTTGCCTCTTATATTTTTATTAGAAAAATTCATCATTTTACACAAGGGGGGAATTATTAATTGAATCAACATTTTTAACACTTTCACACTTCCTCTCTTCCTTATGAGGTGTCTAGGAAAAATGGAAATATATACACTACAGAGTTCAGAACTGTAACTAATTCCTCCTGAGCCCACCAGATGAGGCACAAGTCAGAACATAATAAATTTAAAGAATGGCAGAGAGAAATGTGAACGTGTTTTTTAAAAGGTATCAACAAATGCAGTAACTAATCTTTTCTAATGAATTTACCTTCACTATAATAAGCAGCAGCTATGCCAAAAGAGGAGATCCCTATAGAGAAAAAGGAGAGGAATTGATTTACAATTTAATTCTACTATTTAAATATCTGATTAAACTATATAAAAATACAAGGTTATGTTTGCACTTAGAGGCATTTTAAATATTAAATTATACAGTGTTTGCTGTAGTCTCCAGCCCTGAAGAGAGAGCAAAAATTGTCAAAATTGTCTTTTTTTAAAAATTGACATTAAAAAGTCCACTTGAGCTTTGTTTTAAATGTTTGGGAGAAACAGGCTTACCTACAAGGATAGACCAAGATCTGATACCCGGGGATCTCTTTAAGTGAAGGCATGTGTTTGAATGACTTTCAACCTGCATATACATCTTTGGCAACGGATAGGAAGTCACAGTGCCACAAAGCACTCACAAAACCTAAAGAACAAGAAGGCAGGAAACCAACTAAGTTATTGTTTTCAAGCAAACTGCAGTTTGGCAGGAACAGTTCCCACACACATTTGTCCACGCTTCCAGCATTTTCCGCTATCCGAACCAAATGCATTCCCCCTCCCCCAATATGAACAGCCCCAAAGCCCTCGTTTCCCACGCTCCAAACCAACAGCAAATTCATAAACTTCGTTGTATTGTTTATATAGCGTTTTAAGGGTGCAATTAGCAAACGGGAACTAACAACGATGGGTTTATTTCCTCCCTTCTCCCTTCCCTGCACCGCCGGCAGTCCATTGTAATAAATACAATACAATCCTGAATAAACGAAATGGTCCAGCGTCCTTCTCTCACTCTCTGTACTGCCCTTCAGACGTTACCCTTCTGAACACGTGCTAGACCCTTAGTTTAGTCCCAGGACTAAACTAAATCAAAAAAAAGGAAGTGAGCGTTGCGCGCAACTCTACACTGCATGCTTCTATTGAACTTGAGGCGCGGTTCCCTTTATTGGTTCTCCCGACCATTTTAGAGAACTGCGCGGCGTCAGGTGTGTCTCCACGATCCCGCGGGAGACGCATCTCCGCCAAGCTCACCAAAGTGACCGCCCGTCGCTTTCCCAAAGTCTGCCGTGCGACCAATGCGATGCCGAAGAAACACAGAACTAACACAGCTCGCTATACTCAAATGGGCAGCGAGCTTTGAAACGTAGACCGCGCCTCAAGTTCAATAGAAGCATGCAGTCTAGAGTTGCGCACAACGCTCACTTCCTTTTTTGATTTAATTTTTCCTCAAGGCGAGGCTCAGGAATGGAAGAAGTTCTTAAGAAATGAAGAGAGTCGAGGGAACGCAGCGAAGACTTGAAGCGAGCGGGAACCTTGCTGCCTAATTTTCTACAAGGCTTTTGAGTCTTCTTCCCACGTTAAGCAATCGAGGGAACAGCGCTCGTTTGGTGGAGCGGTTTTATCAAGGCAGACTAACAATTTTACGTTTTGTATTTATGTTTTGTTTGGTTGCAGTTGAATAGTATTCTTTGGGGTTTTTTTCTTTTTAATTTATTGTGTGTGTATGTTGTAACCCGCCGAGAGTAGAACAGTCTATATTGGGCAACCTTGTAAATGTTTAGTAAAATAAGTTCTTGGCATCTCTGCTATAAATTAGGCATTTACAGTGCATTGTTCTAAGTTAATGTAGTTTGGCTCATTTTCACTTTATGCAGTGCATTAAACATTTAGATAAACATTATCAAAATGTTTTCACCTGTCAGAGAGTTTGGGCTAATTATTTCATCTGTCTTTTGAGCAAAAAAAAATTTGGACAAGACATTTTATCATTAGCAGCAGACAAAAACAAATGCCACATTTTAAAAATGCAAAGTCAAGAATATTCTTTTATTACTGGAACAGATTTCATTTAAAAAAGGTCATCTGTTAGCAAAAAAGAAAATAATTTAACTGCGCAGTGAAAGAATTCCATAATTATTTCTGAATCTGAGTGCAAAATTTGGGGCAATGATTATATAGGAATGACATTAATGGAAGCATGTAAAACCTTCTGTGAAATAACATTAAGTAGAATATTGTCAGTTATAAAAAATAACTATTATAAAAAATAACCATTTCTTTAACAGATTAACATGCACACTGTGGCCAAATGTCTTATCATTCATTCCATCCCAGCCTCAACATTCCCACTGATATATACAATTCCATCCCTTTGTTCCTAGTTACATCACATATATGAAATGTTCAGACTGACAGATGTAAGTATTGGTACCCTTATTTGTTTGTTCATTTAGTTTACTGCTTCAAACCAGATAGTTTTAAGACAGGGTAGAAGTACTAATAAAATAGTACAATCATAATAATAATGAATACAATACTGTATACGGTAAAACTACTTGGTGTCAATGATGTGCTATCAATGTAGTACAATCATAATAATAATGAATACAATACTGTGTACGGTAAAACTACTTGGTGTCAATGATGTGCTATCAATACCCAAAAGCCTTCTAAGAAGCCAGGTCTTCTACAAGATCATAAGAGTGGATTGTAACTTTTGATTTATGGAATAGAGTCAGGGGTCTGAAACTGGTGGCCCGCAGGCCGGATGCATCACACATAGGCCACACCTACCCCAACTCCGCAAAGGGGAAAAAAACATTGCAAAATGTCATGTGATGGCAACGTGAGATGGCGAGGTTGATACCTGTGAAATAGACAGTTCAAAAAGATGGCAACCATCAGAGAAAATCCCTGCTAACAAGCCCTCTCCTGACTACCTTCTGGTAGATGAGAACTTTTACCAGGTATCCTTTAACTATTCATGTGGGGTCTATCTGTAAAAGGTGGTCTCTTAGATTCCCAGGCTCAAGCCATATAGGGCTTTATAGGTAGCAATCAGCATGTTATTGTACTTGGAAACACAGTTGCCGGTGAAGCTCCAGAAACAGCTGTGTAAAAGGGAAGTAATGTGACTAGATCAGTGAATACATGGACATGCATTGTGGGGGCAAGTAAAATTTCTTGATGGTCTTCAAAGGTGGTCTCACATAAAACAAATGATAGTAATCTAATCAAGAGATGGCAAGGCATGGAGTGACTGCCCTCAACATGTCCTGTTCCAGACAAGACTGCTAGAGCTGAAAAAAGGCTTCCTAACTACAGCATTCACCTGCTCTTTTAATGGTAGCCATGAGTCCAGGAGGATGTACAAATTACAAGCTTGTTCTTTAGGGCAGCATATACATGACAGCAAACTTTTTTTTTACTGTAAACTTCCTTAAAGCTCTTTAGAATCTGCAAACAATCATTAAATAGGGTCCGATTCAGTATCTTGCACACCTCACTCCAACTGCTTAGCAATATTTGCCCAATGGAAACAAACTATATTGTAACACATCATAACACAAATAGTGAACAGTTCAAAGTACACGCAGCGCTGATGGATCAAAGGTTATATTTAAAAGCTCATATATCCAAAATTTTCAAACAAATTAATTTTAAGACATCTTAAAGGCAAAATATGGAATGTTCTATCAGTTCAATTTGTGGAATTTGAATTTCTTTTCAACATTTTTAATAGTTGTTATTATTTAGATTTATACAGCTGCTAAACCAGAAAAAGTAAAAAGTAAAAATTCAGAGGTGTGAATGTTATAAAATATACATGAGTCAATACAGAAATACTAGCCTCGTGGGGAAATAAACAAAATTCCAATCACCCATTATTGACCTGGCATAATCCCAAATTGCTTCAGTCTCTAGTCCGCCTTCTCAACCTTGTCAGTTTAAGATGAGCAGACTTCAGTTTAGGAATTCCCCAGCCTGTAGTCTGGCAAGCTGGCTGTGGAATTCTGGGAATTGAAGTCCACTTATCTTAAATTTTTACAATGTTGAAAAACGCTACTCTATATAAAAAGCTAGGTTTTGAAAACTAAAAGATAATGGTATTCTAGATAAGAGAACAGGAAGAGCAACAAAGAAGGAATATCTTAGATCCCACAACCTGATTGACAATTTAGTTGATCAAATAGACAGAAAAAAATTACAGAAAGCAGTCCAGAAAATAACCAGATCTTATACCATACTGAAAACATACTGTACATCTTTTCGATTCTGCTGGGACTAAAGCAACTTGGAAATGCAGTAATATTTACATTTGCAAACTCACTACTGCAGCATATTGCAAATGTATGACTTCTAGAGTTCCATTAAGCCAAATGTGTGGAACATTCCAATTATTACCATTGGCACAATGCCAGTTTAACTCTAAGCAAGTTTTTTATAATGTTTATTCCAGATAAACTCAGAAAAGGAAAAGGCAAGAAAACTAAGCTTAATGGTTGATAAGTCCCTTAGTTCAATTCCTTATCCTGGACAAGATTTGGGTTCCTATAACCTCCAACATCCAAAGGACACAAAAGGCTGTGGAAATTAGATTGGAGGATTGGTTAGAAGACACAGGAAAAACACCTCTACAAGAAAACAAAAACAAGAAATAATTAATAAGCCAGAAGGGAGAAATCAGACTCATACTTTTAGGTGCTTCACGGATTGGGAGAAATGTAATCGTGGGGACTACCTATAGTTTTCCAGCTTTGTCTCTAGTTCTTCAAGTGAATACTATTTTTTTTAAAAAAAAAAAAAATCATCATCATTGCGGGGCGATTTTCACCTTTCTGACGCAAGGGGGCGCTGATCCTCGCTTGAGCCACGCCAGGGCCCGAGAGTACGTGACAGCTCTCAGGTCTACAATGAACGCCGGCGAGCGGCGGGGAAAGAGGAAAGGCCAGCTAGACTACCCCAAAATCAGGAGGAAAAAGAAGAGCGGTTTGCACCGCGTTTACTGTCATTTCAGGACGCCCTTCGCCTCCTGACCCCGTTTCAACCCCGCTTCTCCGCTGGCCGTAGCCGTCCGCAGCGTGGGGCTCGCGCTAAGTCCTCCTCCTAGGCATGCCCTTTGTGACTTAAGGGAATTCAGTGCAAGGTACCGTGCCGCTTTTGTTTCTTTCCCTCCCCCTTTTGCTGCATGTGGGGATGTCCCCCCCCCTTTTTTTTTTCGCCCTCAGTGGACACGGGCATTGCCTTCTGCTCTCCGCGGGCGAGAAGTAGCGACCGGCTGCGGCACCGTAAAGGAGATTCCCTCTTTGCGTGGTGCTTGTGGCAGCCGCGCGCGTCGTGTGTGTGTCATCTCCCAGATAAAATGCACCGTTTGGGTTGGCCCTGTTAACTGGAGAGAGAGGGACGGTATTAATCAAACAACAACGCTTCGCCAGGGAAGCCCCTTCGCAGGGCAAGCAGAGAAAGACAACTACTCTTGTTGGGTTTGATCTTAGGACGAGGGCAGGCGAAGGGAACCAACCAACCCATCCTTTAAAGCCAGCGGAGCGAAACCTCTCTGCACATTCTCGGTAAGGGAACTGGAGACACAATAGCCAGCGTGTCAGTTGTGCAAGCTGAAAAGTCATGCCTATGAGGGAATCTAGCAGATTTCCCTGTAATTACGCACCCGTGGCACTTGCTACTGGAAGGGTGGGTTGATTAAAAGCTATCCCCTACTGTGGAATCAGGTGTACTCCAGTCATCGTTATAAATTTATTTATTCTGCTCCTGTAATAAATGCAAGCTGTGCCTCAGAGGGATTCTGGGCATTTGCTTTGGTGCATCCCTGCTTGTTCAGTTCATAAGGATTACACACAGTGAGAGGGGTCACAAATGACTCTGGTAATTGAGTTGTGCTGTTTGGTCTTCAGAACTTGAACATTTTGAAATGAAAGAGATGGGGTATGTTTGGTGGAGCTGTGACTTGATGTAAGGTGGTTGAGGGAGCACCTGTGGTCAGGTATTGTCAGACTCTGGCTTCTCTCAGGGCCACCCAGAAAGCAAGATTGTTGAGGATTGTGGTCAAGCAACATGAATGGTTTGGACACAGGTTCCACATCCATAGCATAAAAAAATATTGGGGACTTAAGGGCATCAGGGATGAGAAGTTATCCTGTCGACCTGTTGTGCAGCATTAGGGGTATCTTGAAGTATTTTTCTTCTATTAGTAGCAGAATTGTCTCGATGTTCATAAAGTGCTGAAAAGAAGCTGACAGTCTCTTGGAGGAGAATTCCATTACTTTGCCAATTCAAGAATGACTTGCAGGCATTTTCTGTGTACTGTACAATACTGTTTTCATATCTGAGATTGAAAGGCACTCATTCCCATTTCTGAGAAGAAAGGTTTTCTCAACTCCTTCTGGACTATAAATAAAGAATGAAAAGAACCTGATAGGTGTAGTTTACACTCATGCACACAGCTTCATTTTTCATCTCATGGTTATTCAAGATACATAGTATTAAATAAAAGATGGAGAAAAGTTCTGCCTTTTTGCCTTTTGCCCTCTCCTCTCTGGACATGAAAAATGCATCTGATTGTAAAACAACTGTTTGCTTGGGTTCCCATGGCAAAGAAGCAAAATGGTATACGGAGCAATAAAATTGTGTATCCTGGAGCTAATTGACAGGAAATAAAAAGTATTTTAGTTTGACAAATTTTCCACATCACGAGAGTTGAGAAGGCAATTGCTGTTTTCGTTAGTTCTGCAAATGAGAAAATTAAAAACTTCCACTTTTCAGCAGAAATGGGACTGGCAGCTGAGCAGTCAGGTGGTTCTCTCTTTAAAAGTTTCTTATTGGCTCTAGAAGGTCTCATTCAAAAGAAAGTGCAGAATAGGGCTGAAAAACTGGAATAATAATGAGGGAAATCCGCTACAGCTCTTCTGCTGTTTTTCATTATTCCAGACAGGTGGAAAGTAGGAACACTGGCTCCTTTTTCTGAGCACACCTGGCAGCAACTCAAGAGAGACCCAATTTTGCCAAAATAAAAAGTACCAAAGACAGACCTACCAATGAAGTGTGAAAATTGCACCAAAAAGGTGAGTCTTATTTTTATTATTTATATTGTGCTACAGTCCCAGTGCACAAGCACTGGGCAAAAAAACTTTTGGCCAGGCTCTATCTCTCTGAGCCTTCTTAAGGTAGTTATGCTGGGGGAAAAACAGGAGAAAGCACTAACTATGTTATTTTGAGCTCCTGAAAAAATGGTGCAATATACTTCTAATACATTCATACCTAAACAAAGCCATGTACCTTTTGAAAACAAGCCCAATGGAACTTACTAAAATATATTTGCAAATAAACATGAAGCTTTCTGCTCTTGTGGTGGTGGTTCCTCCTATCCAGAAAGAAATGGATAGTGATAATTAAAAGTAATCTATCTGGACAGAAAATGCTTTCTTTTAATCTCCCAAACATACGAATTGGAGAAAAATATATAATTGATGTCTGGGATGCGAATAATTTTAAACCAACACTATTATGGTTTAAACTGGTGCATAGTTATAAATGTGCATTTATAGCATGAAATGATACAAAATAGATTGCATTTCAACTGTGTTCAGTTGTCTTCCCTACATTGTACCTTTCAAGAATCTTGGGATTCAATTTACATAGTTTTTGGCTGGTGTGATCATACTGGCTGGAAAGTATAGAGAGATTTGGGAGCTACTAGCTTAAGGGAAGTTGTTGTATATTTATAGTTTCTGCATAAATAAGAATAAATTGCATCAATGCTTTAGCTGTTTAACCTCAGAATTTCCATGAATTTCATGAGTTAACTTCTTCATTTCTATAATGTTCGCTATTGTAATTGACCAGGACAGTATATGTTCCTTTTTGATGTTAGGACCATATAGTTAATAGTTAATATTATTTAGAGAAATTTAGAGACTTTTTTCTTATTGAGTGGGGGGAAAGGTGGTGGGACAAGCTCAGATTATATATGTGTGTGTGTGTGTGTGTGTTATAGGCTGACCTTGTTTTTTGTAGTTCTAACTCCTTGTAATTTAACACAAATGCTGTTCCTTCACAATCTCACCACTTGTATGGATGAGGTCTTATCATTTTGTCCCTGTTGTTAAGAAAATCTTAACAATCCCCTTCTTTCCCCCATCTTTTTTAAACTTCTTTTTGCCTTATGTGAGTGGGACATATTATTAGAAATAGTTAATGTGTGCTGCATTTTGTTTATCAGGATGAAAGTGGAAAAGTTACATTAACCAACAGATCAAATTTGAAATTTGGTTTCTGTATCATTAAAAATATTGAAAGAAAAAAAAAGATTTGACTATACTTTTATTCAATCATGCCTTATGAGATAACTATACTGAATAAAAGTATAGTCAAATCTTTTTTTTCTTTCAATAATGATATGAGGATATATAAGTTTGGATTGACAATAAGAGTTATTATGTAATGTAATTGTAACTGTGACTACGAAATGAATGCACAAAACTGATGAACCAACCGACACACTGTTTGTATATAAGTATGGAAGAGAGCTGATGCTTTTATGTTTTGTCTGTTTGTTTGTTAAAAAACCAATAAAATTGTTTTCAAAAAAAAAATTGTAGAAAACAACTAGCGCACAGACTGTTTTCATTGCTTTCCTTAAAAACAATTAGTTGCTGCATCAAATGTAGATCTTTCAGTTCAGTTGATATTATAAATCCATAATGTTATTATAAATTTAATATATTAAAATACAGAAGAATAGTGCATTCTAGTTACTCTGACATGTTTTTTAAAAGAACAACAACATCAATTGAACTAGAACCAAGAGCAACAGGAATATTTTGGAAGTGCATGGCAATATGAAGTGCTTCATTTCCTTTCTTTTTCAGACTTCTGTTCTAGTCAGTATTGTTATTTGATCTGAATTTAATTTGATTAGGGTAAGGGATTATTCAGAAAAATACTGGAGGGGAGTAGTAATTAAAACAAAATACTGACAATCTGACCTATTCCAGAAGGTATATATTTTTATTCTATTTCTTACAGAAGAGGAAGGTTGCCAAAGTCCATTGACTTCAACTACTGTAGGCATTTTTGTGTGTGGTGGATATATTATACATGCATTTTTTTGGTAGAGGTTTCAGAACACATACATTTGTGCTCCTTTCCCTTGAAGACTTTGCAGTTATGCTGGTCTTTTTTTGTTTTTTGTAATGAGTTATTTAATTGTTTAGGTTTCTGAAAATAGCATATACTTCAGGAGTAATCATTTTTGACATTTATGTCCTACTGTAATATCCACTTTTTAAAATTTTACCTTTGTACCAGTCCTGAGAGTTAGCTAGTGATTTAGCAAAGGCAGAAACTGAGGAGTTCCATGTTTGAAATCAGCAAGTTGTCTACCTCCCAAAGACCTTAGGAGACTTTTGTTATAGTGGATGCTAACTGGCTATCTAGTATATTAAGGTTACTGGATCTAGACATCAGTTTTCATATTTACTGCCATTGGAGAGAGAAAAATACTTAGTCTATTTCTATTGGATTTTCTTTCTTTTATATTTTCCTTCTGTTACCCCTTCTGAGATGGCAGCAATTCCTTTATTTTATTCCAGTGGATTGCTCTGAAGCTAAGCACGGTCAAGTTTGGTTAGTACTTAGATGGGAGACTTCTATTAAATTCTAGGCCTGTGAAAAACATTCCAGAAGAAGGCAGCAATAAACCATGATGTTGCCAGGAAAACTGCAAGGTTGCATTTGCGTACGTACCAGAATTCAAGTTCAAATTGATGGTATCTTTGCCTTAAGTGCACCCTGCCTTATCAGTAGTATTATATAAATTATTAGCCATATATGTTGTTTGGATAAGTTTTGCCAGATATATACAATTCCCATTACATGATCCCATAGACAATTTCCATCTTCTTTTATTCTACCTCAGGTGGCTTTGATCAGTGATTCTGTTGCTTCTGAACAAATGATATTTTATGCTATGTTTCAGGAATGTAGTAAAAAACAGAATGATGATCCACAAAACGCAACAGTTGATGTTCTCAATTCAAATGATGAAAACAAAGAGGTAAATTCCTTTTAAATGAATCTCTGAATTGCTTTGCTCCCCAGACAGTTTAAATTAATCTTGACTAGGCATTTCTGAAGGTGGCCGAAATGAAGATAACCCCCTTCCTTGTTAAATTCAGCATTTAGTTGCAACTTACTCTTGTGGTTTTCAGCAGCATTCTTTTCTTGTTCAGTTTAATAAATTCTTGTGCCGCAATTAGATTTCTGAATGCCAGACTATTGAAAAGATTATAATTCTGAAGAATTCCCACCACGCTACTATCCTGATTTCCCTAATCATACATTTCACTCTAAAGGCCTGCTAAAGATTAGTGAAATTATTCTGCATTTAAAAGCATCTCTTTGGAAAAAAGCATATCCAGAATCCAGTGGTAATATTTAATGCAGTACAAATAATCTTTCTTAATTACTTCACTTAATTCTCAAAGTAAATGAATCTTTAAAGTCACAGGAATTAGTCTCAGCTCACTGTTAAGATCCTTCCTAATCTAAATATCATTTCCCAGAAAGATTTTCTGTTGTGGAGAAATATGTGACCTAAGTAAGTGTGTTCTTGCTGCTTTTGCCCACTTGCATCTCGCAGTGGCCCAAATTTATGCCAACTACAGGTTTTGCTTCCCTTTGCTCTGGCACGTGGACTTGATCTTCTCCCTAGCCTAGTGTGAGATAATGTTAAATCCTCCTTTGCTGTATCAGGGTTAAAGTGGTCTTTTCCAAGGTCAGCTTCAACATGTGTAACTTGGAAGCTTTGGAAGGAAATCTGGCAGTGACTGGGAACAAAAGCCACAGAGACAGGATAAGGATTGGTCACAGAGGTAGCCAATTGCATACCAGTGGAGTATGAATTGATTGAATTGAACTGAACTGAATAAATTAATTTAAGGTTTCTAACTATTCAAGGATTGGGGGAAGAGAATCTTTCAACTTGTCAATGGAGAAAAGTTGCTAGGATTCTATTCAAACCAGGCATTGATTATGCAGCAGAGAGAGATATAATTACTTCAAAAAAGAAACTAACCTTACTAAAGTGGACTGCTGCCTTCATCTGAACAATAGCATTCAAATTACAGAGGTGAAAGAAAGCAGGATGAAACCTTTCCACTTTGCTTTTTACTCAGCCAGCCACTCCCCCACCCCCCAAAAAAGCTGGGGTAAGACCTAAATTAGATTAAAGTGGAGGGAGTAAAATTAGAGAACCTACAGGTTTAATTAAGGGCTGTGCCTGCTTCCCCATAATTCAGGCGTTATAGACAGAACACTTACCTATTGTGTGGTACTTAATTGTTCATTACTTCTTGTTTCAAGAATAACTGCACTATGTTCTTTTTTTACTTCATCATTACATTTTTTGATGGATTTTTTTAAAAAATTTATTCATTTCCAGAAAAGTGAATTCCATAAGTTGGCTAATGCTAAAATATTCCTTAGTGATTGCCTAGCTTGTGACAGTTGCATTACAGCAGAGGAAGCAGTCAAAGTTTACCAGCAGAATCCAAATGAGTTCTTCCGTGTATTGAACCTTAATAAGGTAAAAGGGATGATGTTTGTATGCCTAAACATGTCTAGGAAGTTTTCTGCCCTAACATGTCACTCTAAAACATTGTGGTACATCCAACTTTTTGTTTTCTTTACTTTGCCTTCCCTGTTTCCCACTTTTAGATTTTTCCTCTGAGATTTTTCCTTAAAAGCTATTCTCAGTTCTTCAGTACTTCTTTCCATACTCATATTATAGCCAAATATCTGTTACTTGTTCCTTATATTCAAAACACTTCAAATCCATTGCTTCTGATTAGTGACTTGTTAGCGCTAAAATAACGTTGATGCGGATGACAATCATCGTTTTTCCAGGCATACAATTTGGATGGTCTTTTTAAAATTCCCTTCTTTTTTTAACACTATCCATCCAGTGTATCATTAAATGTCCTGGCATCAAATTTTGAATAATTCTAATGTCTACCTTTTTATCTGAGTTCCAAAATCCTGGTTCTCTTATTTCTTTCTGAATTATTGGGCAGACTTAACGATGAATCTCATTTGAAATCTTTTCCTCTCTTTCTACTTATTATTGCACACCATTTTGCTTTCTTTTTTAGCCTTTACCCTGCTTTTTTTTTTCCTGTGTGCAGTGTGGAGGGCCTTACCCAATCAAATCCTTTCATTTGTTTAATCTGCCCTACCTTCTTTCATTCAGCACGCCCATGCTTACGTGTTTCTATTAATCTACCTCCTACTCCCTTTTTTCCTTTTCTAATCCCGAAAATTCCTTTCCACCCCCACATTGGATATAATTTTTCTTTGGCCCTACCTCTATTCAGAAAGCTCATTTGATTAATCTTGTTAAATCGTTTATTTAAGATTGAGGGGGGGAAACTATTTTAACTTTACTTTTTGATTCCCCACCCGGCACCATTTTCTTCTGCTCTCTTTGCTATAGTTTTCTGTTTTTGAATGTGAATTTGTGAATGTATCTTCTGAATATTTTATGATGCACACCTTCCAATGCTGGGATTTTATTATTATTATTATTATTACATTATATGTTACATTGTCCTGATTTGGCTATTTATTATTATGGGGATGTTTTGTTTTTGTCGCATTCTAACTCAGAGGTTTATTTGCTTTAATAAGAATTGGCACCGGGTATAAAAAAACCAAATTTCTGTATGAAGCAACACTGCTTGATGTAAGAAAGCCATCTCTTGTATAAGTTAGACTCTAAATGTTTGTACTTAACACACCCGTGTGCTTTATTTTGCTTTCCAGAAGTGTGATACCTCAAAACACAAAGTATTGGCAGTGTCTATATGTCCTCAGTCCTTGCCTTATTTTGCTGCTAAATTCAACCTCTCAGTAACAGAAGCAGCTAGGAGGCTTTGTGGCTTCCTCAAAAGTCTTGGTAAGTTTGCTACTAGATGAAAAAAAGAAAAGAAAGCGGAAGACAGCATTAAAAAGATTGTTGCTTCTTTAAATAAAACTTTGTTGATTCCTTAGACAAAGTTTTATAGCATGTGTGTCAGGGTACAGGCAAGGATTGCAAAATGGTTAAGATAAGTGAGTTGTTTATGGATATGATCACAAGCGTTATAAATGGGGATATAATTAGGCAGTTAAGGCAGCACAGACAAGGCAAGAACGCATCTAAATCTTTTCATTATGTTTTTGTTCATAATCAAGGCATCTAAAAGTTTGCATTACAGAATAAAAATGTCTAGTATAGAGTTTTAAATCTTTCCAAGAATTGCACATCCCCTGGAGATAGTCAGCTGCCATGGAGGGGATTAAAGGGAAAGACCAGGACTGCATCTACTTGCCTTCTTTATCCAACGTTCTAGGCAGTGGTGGGATTCAATTTTTTTTTTTACTACCGGTTCTGTGGGCATGGCTTGGTTGGCCTGGCAGGGGAAGGATACTGTAACATCTCCAGTCAGAGGTGGTATTTGCTGGTTCTACGGAACTGCTCAAAATTTCCACTACCATTTCTCCAGAACTGATCAGAACCTGCTGAATACTACCTCTGGTTCTAGGCATTTGGGCTGACACCTGGGAAGAGATCTGCATGCTTCCAACCTTGATTACATGGTCCTTGCCCACTGCTTTTGCTGGGGAGAGATGATATAATTACAAGCGCTATTCCAAGGGTGTTAAACTTGCGGTGTCACATTGTCGTCACGTGACTTATCACAACTTTTTCCCCTTCACTAAACCGGGGGTGGGCGTGTCCAGCAGATGACGCATCCAGCCCGCAGGCGATGAGTTTGACACCCCTGCTCTATTCAGTATGGAAGGGGACAGCATTTGAATGCAAGAACATAAGTGATCTTGATGTCATACACAGACATTCTTTTATATAAATCAATAGTCTCCTCAGCTTTAAAAAAAATACTTGTATACTGCTTGAAGGAAAAGAGGCAAATGCTATTGTTAATTCAACTATAAGTTGGTATACTAGAAAGCTGTGGCACAGGAAAAGAGGAATTTGTTATGGAATTAAAGATGAGTTGAAAACTTGTATTGTTTTCACAATTTAGCCAGTGGGTGAATCACTATTTTTTTTTAAAAAAATAACCTTGCCAGTGAACTTACAAGATCACCAATTCCCCACCCTAGTTGCAGATGACCAAAAGTCATACAGACTTGATCTGGGTTTTCAGCAGCCGAAAATGGGTATCGGCTTCCCATACAACATGATTTCCATTTTCTTCAGTATTTAAACTGAGAAGATACAGCACAGCAACAAGTGTATCTCCATTTAAAAGGATCTTAGGCAGGGGTGGGCTGCTGGGGGTTCAGGAGAACCCCTAGCTAAGATTCTGCACAGTTTGGAGAACCCCCAAATCCCACTCCTGGCTGGCCCTGCCTACCCCACCCCACCCTTCCCAGGAGTCCCCATGCGGCTCGTTTTGGATGCAGGTAAGTGCAGGGCGTGTGCGGAGGCTCAGGGAGGGTGAAAAATGGGACTCCCAGAAGTTTGGAAAGGCTAAAAATAAGCCCATTTCTGGCTTCCTGAGAGCATCCAGAGCCTAGGGAGGCCATTTTCGCCCTCCCAGAGGCTTGAGGAAAGCCTCCAGAGCCCAGGCAAGGCAAAAATGCGTCCCCCAATGCCGCCGTGGTGCAGGAGGCTGACTAGGCCACACCCACACCCACCATGGCCACGCCCACCCAGCAACCAGGTAGAGAACCCCTTGCTAAAATTTTTGAAGACCACCCCTGATCTTAGGAGATAATTGGAAACTTTTGCTCAAGAGCTGCTGTCAGGTAAAACATAATACTAGGCACTAACAGCCTAATATATGGTGAATACTTTATCTTAGGGCACTTTGAAATGTTTCCTGCAGTTTTGTCCTTCAGAGAATAGCATCTTTTACTATAGAAAAATGGTTTATTTGTGATTCTCCACAACAGTTGATCATGCCCTTTACTTTTGAAAGTTGATCTCATGACTATGTATATTCTGTCTTAGAGTCTTTTTTCATCCTCCATTGCCCTAATGAATGATGAAGACTCCACATTGGGAATGAATGATAGGAAGGAGAGTAGGACAGCAGGAAATGGGGTAGGCTACAGGAACAACGTATTTGAAGGTCTGATCAAATTTCTCGGTAGCAAGGAAGATCTGTTAATGAATTCTGTAGAATTCAAGATTATCTTTTAGGCTGCTGCTTGCATGGGTGGATGGAGAGGTTCCATTTAAATCTTTTCCACATGAAAATAAAAGGACACATGCCAAAAACCAGCATTGCCTGGAGAAAAAAAAAGTAATTCAGTTCTGTAATTGGTCTGTTCTCTAGGAGTGCATTATGTCTTTGACACCGCAATAGCTGCTGATTTCAGTCTTCTGGAGAGCCAGAAGGAATTTGTGCAACGGTACCGCCAACAGAATCAGGAAGAACATGTTTTGCCAATGTTTTCTTCTGCCTGCCCAGGTGAGAAATCTAAATCCAGACATGCTGTAATTTGCTTTTCCAATGTTTTCTGTGATGGGAGATGAGTTCGTTCAATAATGATGTAGACAATGAGTTTCCTGAAGTGTGTTTCTCTCAATTGGCTTGCCTTAGTGTTGGGAAATTTATTTTTATTTTAAAAACACAGCGGCAAAGAAACTTCTGTTTTTCCATTCAGAAGAGTGGTATCCGTTTCAGTTCCATAATAATACTTGTCAGCCTGTAGCAAATAGTAATAGCAAATTCTGACAGGGGGGACGTCCTGTTTGGTTCATTTTTCCCCATTCTTTTCTCTTGTAATGTTACTCTTTCATCCTGTTATAATTTATAGCAAGTCAGATTTCCCTAGCTATCTTGTAATGGAGCATTTAATGAATGTGGTTACAAGCAGGCTGATTTCCTGACACTTCCCTGGGGTTTTCTTCCCATTTTTTAAAGCATTATTTTTAAAATCCTTTGCATTATATTTGCCTCAAAGATCGCTGATGTTGGCATAACATCACTGTTTGCCAAAGCAATTCAAACAAAAAATAGAATAGCATAGAATAGAATACAGAATTGTTACATAGAATAATAATACAGAAATATTTTTAGCATATGGACAGAAACCAGATGTAGACAAACTACTATATACTAATTTTCAGTAATATGTCTTTGGATATCATAAACAGTAAGGGGAGAAGGGAAGGAGGGAGGGAGGGAGGAAAGGAAGGAAGGAAGGAAGGAAGGAAGGGAGGGAGGGAGGGAGGGAGGGACTTTAAAACATTCTATTCATATATCCATTCTAGGTAAATTCTAGGTAAATTTGGAGCCAAGACAGAATGGACAAAAATGACCAAAGAGCGCCAAACAATTTTATGAGCTATATATGGCAATAACACTTAAATTCATAGACGATTCCACATTTTGTTGTTATTTTAATATAGAAATTTATAAGGCCACACAATGCTAGAAAGACTGGGCAGCCAACTGTATAGAAAGAACAACCATCACATGCAATTAGTTGTAAAATACAATTAGCATTCTACCTTACATTTTGGCTGGCAATTAAATAAATAGTTGCTAAGGTTGGAACGGGTGAAAACGGATTCTTCAGGCATTACTACTGCAAAGCCTCTTCCAATTTCAACTGGATATACAGTATGTAAAACATTTGCTTGAAACATTCAACTTTTTTGACACTACAGAATCAAATTGTGATTGTTATCAGTTTGTCCAGCAGAGGTTTCACCTGAATTTTGCACCTTAGACTGTTACCAGAATAGCTGAAGTCTCTATGCCAGGCCTCTTTTTCCCTCCTCTTCCACTCTTAAGTTAGCTCTGGAAGTCCTCACCATTTTCTCAGCCAACTCTTCTCTACTCCAATTGGACTGAGGCACAGTTCTGGCTAGAAAGAATGGCAGCTTTGGTTGAAAGCGCACAGGATATCCGGTTGTGAATGGCAAACATTGACTTTGAGCAGCAGAATACAGTAACCGGGAAGTGTTCTGGGTCTTCAGCTTTTCTATAACCCTGTTTTTGGAGTTCTGCCTTGGAGCTGACTCTGCAGAAAAAGCCTGCATCTGGGTGCTTGTTTCAATAAAGATAAATACCTACTGGAGCCTCCTGCTTATACACCAAGGCAGTCTGTGTGATCATGCAATGGCAAAGGTGTGAAATTGCAATACTTTGAACTCTGCTTTTCTTATCAAAACAGATACTTGGAGGTCACTCAATTTACAGAGTGACTCATGCTATAAGCTAGTTCTCGACTCAGCTCATTAAACTTTGCTGAGACTTGTTTGATCAGGAATTATATAAGACTTGGAAATTATAAGACTCTGGAAGCTCACCTTTGATGAGATGAATTATTATAAATGATTTTTGGGATCACCATCTTTGTTTCAGGGAGCCACCGCTGCATTACACATTATATTTTGTTTACATGTATGTGTTTCAAAAGAGTACCAGTGTATTACAACAAAGTCATTATACATAATACATTTTTTTCACGCTCCGCTAGAAGCGTTCTATCTGCAAATGTGAAAGGACCAGGAATTCATGTATGTGTAGATATGAGGGGGTGAAGCCACAAAAGACAAGAGAGGATAAGAAAAAGCAAGTGCATGCTCAGATAAGTTGAACAGAAGTGTCAGCCAGCTGCTGTGGCTTGCCTAGGCTTTCAGAAGGAAACTAAGAAGATTTGCAAATAGGGAATAATAAAATTACATTTGTTTTTCCAGATAGATCGAAAGTATCTTTGTGGCTTCTTCTAACCTGAATCTTAAGGAGAGCCTTAACTGAAGAAAGAATGACATCCACTAAGAATCTTATTTAATTGTGATGACTGGGGGAAAAAAGTCAATTGAAATTTTGCTTCCTGGAAACTAAGCCAGTCTACCATATAGTTTTTCCTACATGTCTTACCCTAACTGGAATTCTAAGTGGAAGGCCATTCAGTGCAGTGGAGAATACTTGTCCCTCTCGTAATTTGTTGCTTTTGCCCCCCTCCGCCCCCCTCCTTTTAAAAAAGAATTGTTAAAATATGATCCTTCATACCATCATTCTAAATCTAGAACATTATGGGGAAAATAATGATTGCTCTTGCAAAAGACAAAATGTTATTCTTAATGTTAAAGAGAACCTAACACAGACCCTTTCTGGGACTTTTCAGGTCAAAGATTTGCTTGACTAACGTAGAATTTTGGCAGCTGTTTATGCTATTGCTTATTCAAAGCAATTTCTCATTAAAAGAAACCTTAAAGCAATCTAAAATTAAATACTGCAATTGCAATTAAAACAATAGGTTTTTCATTAAAAAAATTTGAATCAAACAAATGTTAAGATATATTTAACATCAAATGCCCAGATTCTGTTTCATTGATGTTCAAGGTGGTAAGGCAGCGAGTTCCAATCCAGTTCTTATGAGGCTCATACTTTTCCTTCACTTTCCTTCTCTTTATGAGGTTCATGCTTTCCTTTGCTCCCTGTGAAGTAATAAGGTAGTCAAATGTGATTGGAAACATAGTATCATCACGTTATTTCATTATATAGTCCCAAAATCAGAGGTGTCAAACTTGCATCGTCAGACTTGTCACGGTGTTGTCATGTGACGTATTGTGACCTTTCCCCCCTGAGCTAAACCGGGTGTGGGAGTAGCCGGCATGTGACACATCTGGCCCGCAGGCCGTGAGTTTGACAGCCCTGCCCTAAATGTATTATGTAGAAAGAGAAAAAGGAATCTAAAAATGGGTTGCAGAAGTTTCCGATAAAAAGACTTGAAAAAAAATTGAAAAATCACATTTATGGGAAATATTATTGTATGTCTTGAAAATGTTCTTGCAGCCCTGAAATATTTGCAGAAAACATTTGGTACTGCAAAAGCAAAAGACGATAACCTCACTGATAGCGACAGCCTGCCTTCTGCCTATTTTCCCTTCTTATACATGTATAGCTTTGTGTGTGGCCTTGTACAGTTGAGGCTGCTAAATCCAGGCACCTAGCTTGGTACTCTCTGCCCTATAATTTCAGGAACTGCAGGATGCTAATTACCGACATTGAAGAGGAAGAAAGTATCTTTGCTGAAAACCTATGGCAATAATTTGGATTTTTCTAAACATCAAGCCTGGAAATAATATTGCAAATGTAAAATGTCATGTTTTCCTATGGATCTGGCATTCATCATTTCTATAGCTGATTGTTCCTGGAGCAAACACATTAGTCCAATTCTCATGTAACAATCCAAGTCTTGAAAATTTCCCCAAATTCATTCTGTCTACAGCCTGATGATCCCTCGGTAATCTGATATTGAGATTTTCAGAGAACAAAACTAACTACATCCACATGGCTTGCTGAACAATTTCTTTATTCATCATCATAGTGATACAAGTATTTTTAAAAGATGGCTTTGGGTTTGTCTTTTTAATTTAATTAAATTTTAACTTCTTTGGTTATGAATATTCCACCACTTCAGATCCTCTTTTACTAATTTTGTTTGTGCCTTCCTTCTAGGCTGGATCCAATATGCAGAGAGAGTCCTGCCCAGCATGGTAATCCCACATATTTGCACTGCAAAGTCACCACAACAGATCATGGGTTCTCTTGTGAAGAATTATTTTGCCAGGCAGCAGGTATGGGTTTGCAGTTTTTGATTTTCAATCAGTTTTGAGAGAAAAATGTCTTTTTCTCATTCTGGTCTTAGATGCTCATTCCTGGGATCATTTCACAAAGGGGTTTATCCATTTAGCACAGTTAGAGTCTGGTAAATACGAGCGTTTGAAAAGCTTTCAGCCAACCTGGAATCCTTCTGTAACATCAGCTTGTACTCCTGAGCAAGTGGGCTTCTGGTAGCACTCATCCCTTGCTATTAAGTCATCTTGACGTTAAGTGAAATTTTAGATCATGCATGTGAAATCTTCCTGATAAAGGGCAGCACAGTAAGTTTATTCACTGTTTTGAGTGTGAGTTACTTATCTGCTCTATTTTGGCTGCTTGGAAGATTTTGGTGCCAGCATTCCAGAATCCCTACATCCCACATAAGCAAAGACCTATATATGAAGAATCCTGGTAGTGGAGTGGTTAGAATGTAGTATTGTATGCTGACTCTGCCCACAGCCAGGAGTTTGATCCTGAGCAGCTCAAGCTTGACTCAGCCTTCCAAGGGTGACAAAATGAGGACTCAGATTGTTGGGGGCAATATACTAACTCTGTAATCTGGTTAGAGAAGGCTATAAAGCACTGTGAAGTTGTATATAAGTCTAAATGCTATTTCTATATTGTACTATAAAGTCGACCTGGTAGTGCCCAGACAATTAACATTAAATCCCGTAATGCCAAGGTTTGGACCACAGGGCAAAGAGACATCTCCCTTGATGACCCTTCCTCATCGCCCTTCAATTTAGAACAGGATTTAGATTGCTATTATTTATTTACAAGATTTAAATAACCTTCTATCACAGGGCACAGCTCTAGACGGTTCACAACAATAATAAAACTTTATGATCTGTAAACTGCTTTATTGGGGAATGGGTGGCATATAAATTTAATAAATGCTTAAAAGTAGAATCAGAAATTGTTCTGGATCACAAAGGCTGCAGTCCAGTACACCAGCCACTGCAGGAAGAGATTTCGTTTATTTACTTTTCCGTATATACCCTGCCACTTCAAGATTAGATGATTCTTCAAGCAAGCTATAGATTGAGCACAGGAAAAAAATATATGAAGGCCAACCAGGATAGATTAAGGGAGTCTAATTTCCAATTTAACAAAATCCAGATTCCAATAGAAGAGAATACCTGTAGCTCAAGAATGAACTGTGGACTGCTTGGTGCTCTCTGAGCTCAGTTATTTTGTTTGCCGATGTTTCATGACCCGACTAGGTAACATCATCAGTGCAGACTGATAATATTGTCTAATTAGGCCATGAAACATCTGTAAGCAAACAGTCAAGCTCAAGAGCATCAAGATGTGTACAAATCCAAATTCTGTAAGAAACGCATTCTGAAAAAATGTTGCTCTGTGTATGTATGTATGTGTGTGTAAGTGTATTTTCTTTTTTTTCTCTTTTTCCATCAGAATCTATCCCCTGATAAAATTTTCCATGTTGTAGTGGCCCCTTGCAATGACAAAAAGTTAGAAGCATTACGGGAAGACTTTTATACCCATTTGTATAACTCTCAAGAGGTAGATTGTGTTTTAACATCAGGTAATATCTTCTTTACAATATACTGCATTGCCTTTTATTCAAATTTATTTTAACAAGGACACTGTACGAGGACCTACAGTCATGTAACAGGTTGGCTGGATAGATATGATTGGGTATTTTAAAAGAAGAGAAGCCGGGGTAATTTACATTTTGAAAGATTGTGATTAACAGTCATATTTTTCATCTTTGATATTGCATTGTATTATTTTGGTGTCTGCTGGACATATATGGTGACAGGAAATATTTCTGGTAAGATTTGCCCTGATTATATATACATAAAACAGACAATGGGGGAATGAACTTGTAATACCAAAAGGATACACAGATGCTGAATTTGCTCTCGCATCCTATCACTCTCCCCCGGGAACTTAACTTCCTAGAATCTTCATGTGCCACTTTTCCATGACCCCAAACTGAGAAGGGCTATGACAAATGTATCACTGTGAAGTAAGCTGTGATTGAGACGATTGTCATGTTTCTTCAGCCCTATCATTGGGGAGAATGTGGAATGTCCATGGGCATGTAAGGTTTCCAACGTAGTTTATTCTTTTTCTGATTTTAACAAATGCGGAGCTCTTGTATACTTTTTATCTCAAATGCCAAAATACCTTTATTGCCCTTGAGTACGAATAAATCTTCATTTGTTATTCAGAGTTAGGAGATCATAATTTTTAGTTTCAGAGTGACAACAACAATGTGTTTGGCTACCTCACCTGGCAGAAGAACCAGTTAGAAGCCAACTAAGTTCAGACTTAGCTGATATTTGGATGGAAGCCCTCCAGGGAGCCTCAAAGCTGTTTTCCAGATGGGAGAGTTAAAAAAAAAACTGTTCTAGAAAAAGAAAAGATTTATCTTGCGAATTCGTGTTTAGTAACCTTGTTACATATTTAAGGAATTTTTTTTTTCCATACAGGTGAAGTCTTCCAAATGATGGAGCAAAGAAAAATATCATTGAAAGAAATAAATGAGGTGTCCTTTGATACCCTGTAAGTAGCTTTGGCAAGCCTTTTGTTTCATGATTTCTCTAAAAACAATCACCTTATGCATTTCTATCAGATGAAAGCATTTTAGAAGCACAAATACGAATTATTATGGCCTTCACGTTATGCTACATAAAGTGGTGTTAAAAATTGGTTTGTTTCAGCATGCCATTCTTGTAAAAATTATTTATGTATCCAGAGATCCTGGTTATGTTTGGGTAAATGGACTGGACTGGCCCCCATCCCCATCACTTTTCTTGCTGGCTGTCCTGTAGCTCTCCATTGCAGAACCAAAGTATCAGCCAGCTTCTTTGTTCCCTTCATCTTATTTACCAGCAAATACAAGAAGAAAACAATGAAGCAGCCAGCAGCTCCTCCCTTCCCTCCCTTTGCTCCAACATATGAGTAGATGACATGAGCCAGATGGGAGTTCAGCAGCTACCATCCAAGTGAAATGTTGGTGTTGCCAGATAGGTTGACTTCTGCTAATGTGAGCGTCTACAACCCCTGACAGTAACATTACCATATGCTCTCAATTATAGTGCAGAAGCAAGAGTTATTGTTGTGCTATTTGCAGAGATGATGGAATGGCATGCCCAGCCTGCAGTACTGGGACACATAAGCTTTGCTTTGTGGGGTTGACACTGGGCCTATATGCCTGTCCTGAGATGCACTTGCTATAGAAGCATGGAATGTTTATCATAGTACATTAAGTGGGAAGCCTCCACACTGTCGAACATTGTATCATTTAGAAGCAATAACAACTGCTCTTTCAAAAGATAAATTGCCAGAAGTGGCATTTTTAAAGTGCTCAAGTATTGCTTTAAAATCTAAGAATTATATTATGGTGGAAGTCTTTTAGATGCTAAAATATTTCCACCATAATATAATTCTCATATTGTAAAGCAATACTTAAGTGTTTTAAAAATGCCATTTCTAGCTGTTTGTCTTCTGAAAGAGCAGTTGTTACCCATTTTATTAGAATCACAGTTTTTAGCAATATTTGTCTACAAATATTGTAGGGCAAACATGTCATTTAATCTACAGGAAACCAAACAACTAGGGAAGAAGAGACATGCTTACAAGATCAAATGGTTGCAAAATAAATCACAAACACCATTCACAGCTGCAGTGATCTGATTCGTTATTTTGAACATTTGTATGCTGTTCTTCCAGACTAGGATTTGTCATGCACATATGACAATTGCTTATTCCAATCCAAGAGCTACAGAAATGCAGATATCCACATAATAATGACTGGGGGATATAATATGACTATGGGTGGCAGAAGTTTTTGATTCCCTTACTGTGTTAAGTGAGGGTGCAATGGCTCAGCAGGTAAAGACACCGAGCTTTCCAGTTGGAAAGCTGACAGCCTGTCTTTGAGAATCCGAGTGCCCCGCAACAGGGTGAGCGCCTGCTATTTGCCCCAGTTCCTGCCCACCTAGCAGTTAAAAAGCAGGCATATGCAAGTAGATAAGTAGGTACCATCTCAGTGGGAAAGTAATAATGTTCTGTGTGCCTCGGCATATAATCATAATGGCCACATGACCATGGAAAGGATCTTCAGACAACACTGGCTCCCTTGGCTAGGAAATGGAGATGAGTATCACCCCATACAACTGGACAAGGGAAAACCTTTTTCTGATTAGGTAGCATATCACAACTGTTTATGCACAAATATGTACTAAAGTCCACAGTGCATCCTTCCCCAATCTAGATATGCTGCACTACAGCTCACATAACTCTTAGCCAGCATCAGCCTTTTGCCTGGGAATGATAGCATAGTCAGGCCCGTTTAAGGGGTCAAGGTTGCCGCTTATACAAAGTGACCTTGGTTTTCCACTTCTTGACTCTCCCCTTATTGCTTAACAGGTTTGGTGGCATAGAAGAAGAGCTAATTCGGCATGAAGGAAGATCAGATGGTTACCTAGAGCACATCTTTAAACACGCTGCCAAGGAGCTATTCAACACAGAAGTGAAGGAGCTCACCTACAAAACGTTAAAGTAAGTTGCTTAACTAAAAGTTAAGCAGAAAGAGAAAATAGCTGCTTTTCAAACCACATGTACAGGTAGCTCTCAACTTATAACAATCGGGAGCAGCATGGCCATTGTAAGTCAGTGTGATCACAAAGCAAGATGTCGTGTGACTACACCAATTTCAGCATTCATTACCTGTTGTGGTCATTAACTGAGAGTCATGTTCACTTCAGGCCTTTCTGGGCTTGGTCTCTCTCTGTTGTGAGCCTCAGTAAGTTAAGGAACTGTTACCAGCTTCCTCCACCCTCCCTATCTCGCCCATGTATCTGCTCCCTTTTAACCACCCTGCATCCTCTAGCAGGATGACAAGCAGCCCCAGAACCTGATGGTTCTGGGGCTGGTTACCACACCCCAGGAAACTTCAAGCCATCCAATAAGCCCCAGCAAGCATTCATTCACCCAGCTGCCTTCTCTCCCAGTTCCCCATGCCAATTTTTGCCTTTTGCATCTAACTGCCACAGCCAACGCAGGAAAGTGTCACTCTCTTTGCTGTCTCCTTTTTGGACCCAGTTTCTCTGGCAAACTTTTTCTACACAGGACTCCTGAGCTTTTGTAAAACTGAGCTCTGCCTGTAAAGCTGCGCAATCTTCAGAACATCTTTGGAAAGACAGCACAGCTTAATGCAGTGCAGCTTTATGAAAGCTAGGCTACTTTGTTGGCAATGGTATTTACTTAAGGCCTTGATCCAACCTTATTTACATATTTGTTTCGTATGCAAGCCTTCACTTCATGGGTCAGTATTAGATTGCTTCTAAAACACTGTCCATAAAGCATGCAATTGCTTAACAGTCATTGTTTATTTCTGTTTTTTTTTTTAAAAAAATCAGTGTTTAAGAAATTTGATAAGCTTTGGAAGGCTGTGCCCCTTGATTTGAAATTGCTTTTAGATACAAGAATTCCAAAGGGGAAATCTGTTCACAAGGCCACTTTCTGTACCTTCAGAGCCTGGCCTCTTTGCCTGCAGACTAAAATTATTGTAAATTGGAAAGGCAAAGACTGTCGTTTGCTATAAAAGTTCAACACCTAAAGCCTGTAAGGTCAATTATTAGCCTTTTTTCATGAAGACTAGATTGATAAAAATAAAAGTAATCATAGTAAAATCAGTCATAACAAAACCTCAGTCAAAAATTATTTGGGGGCGGGGGAAATAGTAGAGAAATTCATTGATATGAGAAAGTATAAAAACAGCATGTTAGATTAAGTTGAAAAGAACATGAAGGACCAATGCAAGGCCAGACAATAAAGAATTGGTACCATCATGCTGCCAGCATCCCCCCCCCTTTTTTTTTTTACAGAGAGAAACTACTCATTGTTTTACCTGCTGAGTACTAAGGCATAGGGGAGCTACTGAGAGCATATGTCACCAGTATTTAGTCCTAAATCAAAACACACACAAACCCCTATACCATATATGTATAAATTCACTACATTTGCAATCACTTTCAGAAAAAATATTGAAACAGTTTGAAGAGAGTGATCATATTCCTTCCAAAAACAAGCAACAAAAGGTGGCAGCAGATAGAATTAGTAGAAAGCATTTGTGGCCATCAGATATAGAGGCCGAAATAGGAACTCTTAACCATATTCCTTCACTTGCTTGCTTGCTTGCTTTGTTTGGGAACAACCAGAAATCTTTTCCCCCTGTCTTTTCAGAAACAAAGACTTTCAGGAGGTTACCCTAGAAAAGGATGGCGAGACAGTGCTACGTTTTGCAGCGGCCTATGGCTTTCGAAATATCCAAAATATGATTCTGAAGTTGAAAAAGGGGAAATGTTCCTACCACTTTGTTGAAGTTTTAGCCTGTCCTGGAGGTAATCACCAAACCTGAGGTTTCTGCATCTCCCTATATAGTTTTAAAAAATCTTCACACATGCTGTACAGTAATTAAACTCTTTAATGTTGCTGATGCTAATGCTGACTCTAGTTAAGACAGCACTGTCTGAAATTGCATGTACCAGATTTTAGATAGCAAAGCTGTATTTGTCCATGATATTTATGTGAACATATGGGGATGTCAGAGGCAGGGTAAATGAATATGGAGATGTAATGATCACATGAAAATAGGCTATACAGAAACATGGTGGATAAACCAGGGGTGGGATTCTACAGGTTCGCACCTATTCGCAAGAACCGGTTGTTAACATTCTAAGCAGTTCGGAGAACCAGTTGTTAGAAGAAATTACTGGCCTAATCCTGTAAGGAAGGCAGGAAGGAAACATTCTGGTGTTGCTTACACAAACTGCCTCTCCGTTAACTCTTATTACATTCTTGGCAGGACTAGACTTCCTACATCAGGAACTTCTCTGGAGTTTTTTCCCCCTCCTTTGCTGGTACTTTGCTTGTGTCGAGTGACCATTCAAAGTTACAATGGCACTGAAAAAAGTGACTTATGACCTTTTTTCACACTTATGACTATTGCAGCATCCCCACAGTCATGAGAGGCCAGGCGAGGAGATGCGTGCCTCAATGTGAGTGATGTCGAGTTGGCCAAGCCTGGCCAGTCACATGACCGCCAAGCCACACCCAACTAAACCACGCCCACAGAACCGGTTGTTAAAAAAATTGAATCCCACCCCTGGGATAAACCCACTCAGTGTTTTTAAGTAAACCAATTTCTCCTCTTGTTTTGCTCATTGGTGTGTAGGTTGTTTAAATGGGAATGGCCAGGCCCAGACTGAAGATGGAAAACCAGATAAAGCCCTTCTCAAGCAGATGGAGGATGTATATGCCACAGTTCCTGTTCAGATTCCTGAAACCAACGGGCATGTGCAGAAGCTTTATCAGGAATGGCTAGAAGGGATGGATTCCAACAAAGCCCAGGAATCTTTGCATACTAAATACAACATGGAAAAACCAGCTGCCCACAGTTATGACATCAAATGGTGACCAATCCGATTATAAGACATGCATCAGGGTTGATGGACCTGCAGCACTGTCACAGCTATGCTATGCAACTGAAATCGGAGGCACAACCACGAAAAAAAGCATGCTCAGAACTGGAACTGCACTTGTTTCCTCATTTGGGGTTGTGCAGAGTCAAAATGCAGCTGGTCCCAGTGTAAATGTGGTGCATCTTTATTTAATCAGAATTCTCGCCCAATCATCCATATACTGTTAAGATGTATTGGAAAGAAAATCAGGGCCTGCTACAAAATGCTTCAATGCTGACCCCTTCGGAACTTGAGGCCTGTGTGCTAAGAATCTAATACCATGAATGTGCTCAGAATGATTTCAGGTTAAAGTTTGTCATTTACTTAAGACTTCATATTATTACTTAACCTAGATTCCAAAATATAATTTAAAAACCTGCCTACTACCAATGTGGTGTCTACAAAGTCAGGCCTATTTTCTTAATTATGGCAAAAAGAATGAGCTTATGCAAGTCTGAGAGAACAGTAGAACACTGACCTCTGATAGAAATGAATGTTCATTTGGTCAGCTTTATGTAGCTTCTTCAACTCCCCTGAGAACAGGGGCCTTTGCTCCTTACTGGCATTGATTTCTTCTTGAGAATATTGGGATCCTGGTGTCGTAAGACAAGCCTGGTAAAATCCTTGAGGTTCAGAACTATATTTGGGAGATCTGTATCATCAGCAATAAAGCTAGGTGAATTGGGGAATAGTCAAAGAGTATTGTAAGTACAGATAAGATCATGCAATCAAATGGGCAAAGGCAGTGGTGGGATTCAACCAGTGTAACAACCAGTTCGGTAAGTGCACGTAGTGTTTTAAAAACAGCAATTTTCAGCTAAAACTTGCCTTCTGCTGCAGCCCCGGTGAGTAAAACAGCTGAGGCGCTGTGTCATGCGAATCAGCTGGGCTTCAAAAGAAGGAACTAAAGGATAGACTAGGGCAAGGGTGGGCAGGCGGGGCCAACTGATCTCTGGAACTACCGCTTGGCCTGAACTGGTCCATACCGGATGAATCCCATCCCTGGACAAAGGTCATGCTAGAATAGGCAAACATGATAAAAGCCAGAATGTTTGAAACAAAGGGCTCACCTGATTTAAGAAGATGTAATATAATTCTTGTTAGCTTGCCTAATGCTGAAGTTCTAAGTGATGTTTTAAGAAAAGATGGTTCAGTGACTTCTTCCTAGAAACGCTAATTTGTTTTTAGGATTTTCTGGGAATTTTTGTGCATACAGATCAGTCACTGATAATTTCTCTAAAGAAGGTAGATATGAAGAGAGTTCTATTCATCACTTGTGGGCTGTTTCATTCACAACTGGTCAGTCTTTGCACAAGCAGGCAAAATGTGAACATTCATTTTACCCAGCATCACACTGCTAATGTCATTGGGATAAATTAACACTTTGGAGCAGGATTGCTCCAAAGGAGACCAAGTATAGGACTTCTTTCCCTGGATCATATGCTGAATATTAAATATTGTTTATTAGCATGTGATATTACACCTTCAAAGTTCATGCAGCACTTGACCAAGAAGATTGCTCTCCCTGGGAGATGTCCTAGTAAGCCCAGATTTGTTTTTAGTAGACATTATAGATTTATATTTTGAGAGCTGCCTCTACAATACTGAGATGCACTTTCAAGTACTGAGATGCACTTTCAAGTACTGAAAGGAATGATCAGCAGTTGTTATGCTCCAAAATTGTAATGCGAATCCATTTTGCCCTATTCTGAATCACCTTTCTCAAACAAACATACATAATTACCCCCTTGAATGCTCTGCTCAAGAAGAAAAATGCTACAAAAATTGATGATTCTTCTGTTCTTTTTCTGTTGTTCTTTTGTTTTATTAGATCCTTTGAAACTCTGCTGCCTTTGGCCTGTCCCATGTTTTCTTTTTCATTAGATATTCTTACCTCAACATGAATAAGCTTGGATGTGATTCCGCTGGGAATCCCAAATTCTTGGATGTTCTTAAATTGCCAGCTTATAAAGTCATAAAATAGGAATATTGCAACTTTTAGGTTGTGAAGATGTAACCTTCAGATATGTTTAATGGTTCGATGGTATCTCAGTTCAAAAGCATTCAATTTTACCCAGGACTAGCTGAATAGGAAAGAGACACAGGAAATCAAGCAATTATAAAGTGATTTGCTTTTTGGCACAGAGATGTTGGGAAGAGGTGCATTTTGTGTACTATACATATGAATTGGACTAAAATGGCATGCCTGTATTCATAATATCCTTGTAACAAGAAAACAGTAACATAAAATGAATACCAGAGTAAAAATACATACTAAAATTTATCTGCATGGAGGAAAGGAATTTAAAATAGCCGAGGTATGTGTAGGCATAGTGCTACATTAAACTAAAAAAGGACTTTCTCAAGCTATGGTACTTTTTCGCAGCATTTGATGTTCAAGTACATCAGCATTAAGGTATCAAAGATGGGCCCACATATTACACACATAGATTCCTTTTTATCACAAGAACATTCTTCTGGGGGTGAAAGATACCGGCCTTTTCTAAGAATACCTTCAACACTTATCAGTTATGCAATTGAAAAGGAATTTTGGATGAATGTACCAAGGTTGCCTAAATTTCTGAAGCAAGGCAAAAGCATAGAAGCACAGACTTTAATACCTTCGAGATATGGTGGCAATGTAATTTATTTTTAATTAGTTCATTGAGTTACCCTGGATGGGGGTTCCACCCACCCACCCCATTCTGGCTTTTTTATTCTGTTCTGATGTGTTTGTATATACAAGTGGGCCACATCTTATGTTAAATACATAAATAAATACATAAATACACTCTGAAATAGTCCAGAAGAAATGTGTGAAAATCCACCATTTCTGATCTTCGTTAAAGTAGCCATATGACTAATGCATAAGACAAGAATTTTGTGTGTCTTTAATAGTCAGTTGGTTTAATTCATTTTTTTTTTTGCAAACTCATATAAAAATCCGAACAAAGACAGGCTGCTTTAATGAATAGCGAAGAGGTGCTTCATTCAGAGCAGGTCTTCTGGACCATTTTCAAAGATACGCCGCCCCTTTTATATTATTTAACTTGTTATACATATTTTAACTGCTTGTAATCTATGTGCATGGTAGGCTTTGGAAAATATGGATATCAGTAAAAGATTTTTAAATAAACAGGTCCAGTGTTCAAAATACTCTGAGCATAAGTTCCCATATATCGTGTTTGCTGCGGTTTGGGGGGGGGGGGTAGCCTTTTTTGTGCCTAAAATGGAAGCTTCTCAGTGTAAATCAAGAGTTATGGAAAAGTCCTGTCACTGACCAAGCAAATTCTTGTTGCATGTCACATCTGTGGTACTACAGTTTCCCAGGTTTGCCCCTGCTCAGGTTAATGAGGCATCACAGAAACAACAGATCAGAGGTGGTATTCAGCAGGTTCTGTCCAGTTCTGGAGAACTGGTAGCAGAAATTTTGAGTAGTTCGGGGAACCGGCAAATACCACCTCTGACTGGCCCCGCCCCCATCTATTCTTTGCCTCCTGAGTCCGGGCTGATGGGCTGGGTCTTCTTTTGTTGCCTTGCACAAGAGAATGAGCTGGAAAGCAGGTTAGTGGGGTGGGGAAGGAATGGGGATTTTGCAATATCCTTTCCTTGGAGTAGGGTGGGAATGGAGATTTTACACTATCCTTCCCCTCCCACACCCACCTAGCCACGCCCACAGAACCAGTAGTAAAAAAAAAAATGAATCCCACCACTGCAACAGATGTGTTTAAAAACTGCTCACCTCCTGCAGTTACTTGGATCTTTTTGTCCTCATTGTAAGGTCTCTATCCAATGAAAGACAATACAGAGTAATTCCTAACCGTGTTTTCCTGATAGGAAGTGGTCTACAGTATGTTGAGCAAAGCTTGTTTCCTTCGCAGTACATTGCTGTCTTTCCATGATGGAAAACTGAATAGTGTCATCCATTTTGCATCTCAAAAAGATATCAACACATGAAAAAGTAAAAGCCACACGTATGAAATGTCAATATGCTAGAGCTGTGGCTGTGCAAAATATGAGTTGTAGGACAAAACTACAAAATCTGTTACACCATATGATTAATATAGGGAGAGCTTCTTACATGATCATTGCATTATAAAAAATATTTTTTTAAGTTCAAGGTTATAGAAATCTTAATCATTTGTCAACTGTGCATTGGATCCATTAGGTCCACTGTCTTAATTTGTTGCGATGACACCTTTGTGGAAGGCAGCGAACATGTCCAATGCATCTTTCTCCTACTTTCCCCACAACAACCCTGTGAGATGAGTTGGTCTAAGAATGAGTGACAGGCCTAAGGTCAGCCTGCTGATTTTCATGGCCAAGGTTGAACTTGAACTCAGAACCGGGTGTTTTAATCACTATTTAATTCTGGAATAAATTCTGGGAATTTGGGGAGTTGCATTTCATAAGTCTTAAATGTTGCCAAGGTTGGACACCCCTGAACTAAAAGAACCATTGCATCCGCTTTGGGTGGTACAATGCATATTTGTGGTGCTCTTGATGAGTAAGCAAGTACCATGAATAAGTAACTAGCCCAGATTTTGGTACTTAAAGGCAGCTTAAGTCAGGCTTTCCAAATGCAGCAGCTTTAATTAAATTCAAATCAATGGATTGCCTCTCTAGAGAAAGTTACAGAGACCAGTTTCTCTCCTTCCGGGTGGTCTCTACTCAGTCATCACTTTTGCAGAGTGAGAATGTTTCTCCTTGCATTAAAGAAACGTTTTAAAAAGAAAACATGTTTTTTAAAAAAATAGATATCCACCCTAATCCTGCTCATAATTATAGTTATACCAGAAGGTTTCCAAATCTCTCTTAATAACATACACACTTACTTCGCTCTCGCAGGTTTCATCCTCAGGATTAGCATGGTGAGAGCAGCCACCCACTCACTCCCACAGGTCCAGAGTTAAGTCATACAGACAGTCCCCAACTTACAACAGTTTGTTTAGTGACGGAAGTTAGAACAGCACTGAAAAAAGTTATTTTTCCTGTAAAAATCAAGCAGCCAAGAAGTCTGGAGGAAACCCTTCAGATTTTTGTCTGTCGAAAACAGTTTCTGAATCAATGTCACAACAAGATTTCTCAGCTGGGTAGTTTTCATAAACTATAGCAATTCGCAGTTTATATGTTTTGCACCCAACCAATTGATTTTGTCTTTAATTTAGGAAGGGTCAGTGGTGGCTAGCAAATAAGCAACCTTACAAGCTAGTACGTTTATTGCAAAGATCTTTTCGAATAAAGGCACATTTTCATAGTCTCAAGAAATTACTGTTATCTAAAAACAAAACAGTCCCTTTAAAACGTTGCTTTGCAAGCGCAGGTTCTACCGAGATTTGAACTCGGATCGCTGGATTCAAAGTCCAGAGTGCTAACCATTACACCATAGAACCATTGGACAAATAGGTGTTTGGAAAAGTCCTCCATTAGCACGTCCTCCTCGTTTCCCTTTGAAATCTGGATTGTTCTTCACTGTTACATTTGTAAAGCTCTTCTCTGTTGAGCAATAAAAGTGAAAACTATTCCCTGTTTTTTTAAAAAGCCTAACTCAAAAGACCGCATTTCAGCATGATTTTTCGACTATTATCCATCAAAATGAAAGAATTGACCTTTAACCTAATCTTAGTTTTCAGATATATTTTTCTTAATTCTTCCTTTTTTCCCCGTCCGTCTATAAAATAGGATCCGGAATGATCTTAAAAAAATTTACTTTACAGGTTCCACCGAGATTTGAACTCGGATCGCTGGATTCAGAGTCCAGAGTGCTAACCATTACACCATGGAACCACGATGCAAATCTTTTCGATTCTCTATTACTTACGCCGGTCGTGAATTAATCTAGAGTTCCTTTCTCAGTTCAGACTACATTGAAGTTCTTGTTTCAAATTAAAAACGTCGAAGTTGCTATTGATATCAAACTTCTTTCGTCCTAAAAACAGCTTCTCCGGTTCAGCGCCTCCCAAACCCACCAAGTGAAAATTGAACTGAGAAACAACAACCCGCGGGATCTAATGCAATTCATAAATAGGGCAGAAGACAGTTGCAAACGCAACCTAAGGGAAATGAGTTCGTTGTGGTTGGTCGCACCGTCAGCCAAATGACTATCATCATCATCATCATCATTATTATGGTTCGTCGTACTGTCAGTCAGATGTTTAGACAGGATTTGGCGCTTTCATTCACCTAGCGATTTTATCTCAGGGATACGCAGTTGCTGCTGTTTGATGGTATAAAAGGTGTTTCGAAAGGTAAACTGTTGCAAATAAAGCTGATTTTTGCAAGTAACTAACCGGGATTTTGTCAATGGCGAGAGTGTGCAGTTGTTTTAGGACTGCACCCAAGGTGCCTATCGCGCTTGGCATTACCTTTGCTTTCTTTTGCCACCGTCGTTCTACGGTACGGTTTGCTGATTCTATTTGCAGGTCTTTGTATTTTCTGATTTTCCCCAGTTTTTTCTTTCCAGAATTAATGTATTCTTTTCAGATATCCTCCTCTTCTCCTTGGACTTAAATTTGCAACAGGAGAGAACACGTTTTCTTTCAGTAGTCCTGCAGCTGCTGGCCGCGGTTACTCAGCCAACAGTTCTGCTTTCTGTAGCGTGCTTGGCACCATATATGAATGTAATTAGTATTCTTATGTAATGTAATATTTATGTAATTAGTAATATGTATTTTAATAAGTATTTAAATAATTTAATATTATGTAACGTTATATATATTTTTTTACACAATGGTATTACAAGTTTTTAAAAGGAAGATAAAACGAATACAAGTTAATCAAAGTCAAAAGAAGAAAAGCTTAAAGTGCAAGGAAAGGGGGAAAAAAGTTTGAAAATAGAAAAGAAAGCAAAAATACACAGCAATGACTTCTAATCTTTACAGCAGTTATAACAACAATTATAAATTTACCTCTTATTTTAAGGTTATAGCATTATTCTTTTCTTATAATCTGGCTTGATTCATCATTAAAACCATAAATCATAAGTTCACTTTTTTATTTTATATCGTGCTTTTATTGTTATATCTCAAGGCAGCAAACACATACAATACCCCTTCCTCCTCCTCTTTTCCCCACAACAACCCTATGAAGTGGGTTGAACTGGGGGAAGAATGACTGGCTCAAAGTTATCAAGCCACTTTCATGCCAGCTGTCACCATCTCCTGGCTTCAAACCTGGTACTCTAGCACTAGACTTAATCTGTCTCTCAGGGTTGTTGTTTTTGCAAAAATCTTCAGTTAAAATGAGGGAGAAAGGTGAATGGTACCTGATAAAGAGGCCTGCTTTTTGCCTTACACCAGGTTTCGGCTCTCTCCCAGTCACCCTTTGCTCTGTAGAACACATGTTGTGAATTCTTTCTGTTAGTTGAGGAATAAAAAAAGGTTTAATAAAAGAATGAGCTGATAAACTTGTCTGACAGAGGTAAAATAAACAATAGGTGGGAGATAGGCTTTTAGCAACTTTCCCAGACAAAGGCATCTGCAGGGCTGAAAATTTTTGTCAAGATGACAATGCCATTGTCTTTTTATATGTGTGATGTCACAATACATGTGCAAAAAGAGCAAAATTGAGTTCTTAAACTCAGGGTAGCCTCGAACGACCAAGATGGGCAGCTTATAAATTTAATAAATAAATAGTATGTCCCCATTACTCTTTTTCAGTCTCAAATAATGTCATTATTCTCACAAACATCACTAACAACACACGTAAGTGTCTCAGCTGCAGCAAACCCAAAGTGAATGTTGGAATCACAAGGAAAACAGTTACAAATTGCTCCACTAACCCTAGATTTTGCCCAAATTTAAGAACTACTGGCTTACAGCATTAACACTGCTTTCATTATTGTATTATTGTTGTATTTATCTACTCAACGCTCTGGGGTATTGTTCATCCATTCAACTATCTTTAGGTGACGTGTTTAAGGTGACATGAGGATGGGCAGTTTGAAGATTGGAAACTCTCCCTTCTGAAGGATTATGAAAGCCCATTTGGTGATGCTGTGATACCACTATAAGGGTCTATTTGGAAGTTGGATTTTTTTTGCTTCTCAAGAGTTTTAAGACGGGATTGGAATGGTTGTCTTTCTTATCTTAAAACCACTCTGAAAATGGGTTGATACTCTACCATTTTGCAGGAATTTCACCAAAT